AGCTGTATAGACCGGGTTCAGTGGCATCAAAGAAGGCACCGTTGAGGTCCAGATGGATCTGTTCCGGTCAAACCATGTCCAAAACCATTCAAAGCAATCTGGAGATATCTGGAGTATCCTCAAGACTCTTAAGACTCTTAAGACAATAAGATATCCTGGAGAGATGCCTACAGAGCCTACAGAGCCTACAGAGCCTACAGAGCCTACAGAGCCTACAGAGGCACAGAGCCTGCAGAGCCTGCAGAGCCAACAAGACACTGAATCTAAGTTTCAACTTGCTTGAAAAGCTTGCACGGAAGCTTCTCTTGAAATCCACCTACACTTCACATATTTGGAGCATGAACACAGCTATTTAACACTTACAAGTATAGTCCTGGTTCGAGTGGCTGATTTGACACAGTTTCGTGCTTATTGCTACTTCAATCATGGAGTCTGATGTGACGAGCTGCTATCTTGACAGCACATTCAACGAACAGTGCTACAAATTATCTGGCACAAATAAGAATCTTCAGGGTCAGTGGTCAATTCATCTTACACCAACCTGTGCAAGTCACTCAGCACAATCTCAGGATATCTCAGGCTCTACAGCATGTCAATGGAGCTTAAAAGCTGTCCATTTTTTCAAATCAAAGGTCTCCTTCTTTGCATGCACAGCTATCTTCCAGCGTGAAAAGGGTGCATGGCGCGCTTTCTGAGTAGGCGGTTCTCTCATTCATGTCTTTTCCTTTTTCATTTCACCGCCTACCGAGCCCACTCAGCCTGAGGCTGATCTAGTGCGCTGCTAAAATGCCTTGAGAGAGGGAGTGCTTTCGGGCCTCAGTCTGCAAACTGAGCAGAACGCAAGGCCTTGCAATCTATTTTTGGTTGTTTGTAAGGTTTGGAATGGAAAAGCTTTGGGGGCACACATGGGAATCATTCAACTCAATTCACGCTCGCGATTCCATCAAAAAGCCCTTTTAAGGGAATGTGAAAGCAATTTAAATGTTTGAACGCAGTTTGAAGGCTGTTCATTGCCGTTCATCTCTCGCGTATTTAAACGGTTTCCCAGCAACTCCACAAAACTGAGCCTCCTGCTCGCAGGTCCTTCCGGGCCTTGCCTCCACTTACAGCCGCCTCCAAAACATTGCCAAAGCGTTGCCAAAGTCTTGCCAAAAGTGTTGCCAAATGATAGTTGTTTGTTGTCATATTTGTGAAACGTGTCAAAGCAATGACAACCGACTTGAACAACTTAACTCCTTGAGAAAGTCTGGCTTACATATTCAACTCCCTTTCTGCCGCATGTCCCTTTCGAATAGTCCCGTTATTGTTGGTTGGTTATTCCAGGAGGTCAGTCAGATTAGAGTTACAACATTCTTCAACAAACCGCTTTGTATCTACTCCCTTGGCACGCCTCCAGTGTCGTGTTTGTAGGCTTCGCGATTGTTGACGCATATGAAATATTGGGAACCTCACACAACTTGACACAGTGCCTGTTCCAGAGCTTACATGTCAAGCTGCATGCGTTTCACAAATTTTCCCAATACTCACTGCAGGAAATGTGAGGACACTATCCCGGCAATGCAACCATCACGGGGATTCAGCCAACCCCCATAATTATTTACTCCCATCCAACGGTGACCCCAAAAAAAGGGCTTGTTAAGGATTTTAATTTGTATGTTGAAGACGCTTCTAAAATATTCCAAACGCAATGCGCCAAGTGTTCGCAATGCGCCAAGTGTTCGCAATGCGCAATGCGCCAAGTGTTCGCAATGCGCCAAGTGTTCACATCTCATATCGTCCATTTCCGTCAGAGTTTCATATCCAAAACTTAGAGCTATCATATACATCATGTACATCATGCTGTTTTTACCACAGCACTCATAGGCGTTGACATGCCTATTCCGTGAAGTATTGGCTGAAAAGAGCCGCGGAGCGAGATTCATGAGGCGTTGATCACCCCTCCTTGTCCAATCGATTCCAGTGACTCTTCATATCCTACTTGAGCACTTCTACCGCTTGCACGGTAGCGGAGCCTGCCTACGGGCGGGCGTGAGACCAGGGACCTACAGCCTCCTACTGCGAGAGCCATAGGAGGAACAACATGGCGGAGAAGCAAAAAAGGATAGAGAAGACGCGAGAAGGAGTTCCCATTTGGGATGGAGATGCCGGAACATATCAGGAGTTTGAAGAGAGCGCTTTGCTGTGGGAGCAATCCATAGCAATGCACAAGCGCTACTTGTGCGGCCCGAGGCTCCTCACAGAGCTGACGGGCACTGCTCGCAGGTTCACTGTGGGCAAGCATCCCGAATGGCTCTCCTTCAATGGAGGCGTGCAGCGACTTCTGACGTACCTGAGGTCAAACTTGGGCCTTCCACAGATGCCTGAACTGACGGATCATTTGAGCCGTTACTTCCGGCAGTCCAGGCGCAAGAAGGGAGAGACCATGAATGAGTACGTCACTAGAAAGTCAGAACTGTATGCAAGAGCTCGACAAGGACTTCACAGGGTGATGTCGCACTATGAGAAAAAGAAGCCAGCGTGGGAGAAGAGCTACGGCGGCTATAGCCGTCCGGGGTCCACCGACCCTTGGGCCAACTACAGGAGAGCACCCTCCCTGGCTGGCAGTCAGAACCTGAGTGCTGAGGAGATTCAGGATGATCGGGAAGCGCTTGCTCGACCTGATGATCAAGCTGAGGCCACCGAGGATGCCATTGAGGAGCGAAGCTCCACTGGTCCAGGTCCTTCAGGAGATTCCTGGAGTTATCCGGACTGGTGGTCAAATGGCTGGTGGAGTACCTCTTGGACACCTTCCGAGAATGCCGACTGGAATGTGGAAGCCCCTGAACTACTGCCAGAGTATGTTCAGGGCTGGTACCTCTTGTTTGATTCTGGCCTGGACACCAACGAGCGCAACATGATCGTGGCAGCCCTGAAGGGCGACTTCACTATGACCCGAGTGGCACAGGAGCTACGCAGCCAGTGGACCGATGAGGACCTGCGTCGTCGAGATGCAGCCAATCGTCACTCCAGCTGGTGGGTGGATGAGAATGAAGAGGCCGAGTCTGAGGACTATGACACTGCCTGGGTTGCCCAGGCTCACCGCAACTTCAATGACGAGGGCCTCGCACTCCTGCGTGAAGCTGAAGATGTGGCTCAAGAAGCCCTAGCCATGATGGAGCGCGGGCGTCGCACCTTGAAAGAGGCCAGACAGAAGCAACATCAGGTGAGGATGTCCCGGAAGTACTACCGCACCAACTTCAAGCCCTCGGGAAGCACCTCGGCTGTAGCTTCTGGCACAGATCAAAAGTGCTTCCGATGTGGTGGTCCTCACAAGACTTCATCATGTCCAAAGGCAATGGCAACAACGACAGCCTCTTCAGCCGAAGAACAGGCTGCACCTTTTATCTGTTTTGCACAAGACCAGGCCACCAAGGACCATGAGATTGTGGAGCCCTATGTCCCGGACGACCTCGAGGTGAACTACCTGGATGCTGGGTTCTCCGATGCTTGCCCAGAGGCCTTCTTTGATGTTGCCGACACCAACAGCATAGGGCCTATCTCCACTCAGATGGCCGTCGAACAAGGCAAGGCTGTCGTTGATGGAGGAGCTACAAAGACCCTTGGTAGCGTGGTGGCCCTCGAGAAGATCATTGCCCTCAACCAGTACAAGCATGGGACTTCTCGTTTGGCCGATCTTGACTTGGAGAACAAGCCTACGTTTGGTTTTGGAAATTCATCAAAGAACCAGTGCGTGTCCACAGCCTCACTCGAGGTTCAAGCAGATGGCAGACCTGGACAAGTACAAGTACATGCGTTGGATGCGGGAGCAGGACCTGTGCTGTTCTCCATTGAGTCCTTACGGGCCTTGGGAGCAATCATCGACTTCTCTGAGGACATGGTCGTCTTCCGCAAGATCAACCCGTCCAAGATCATCAAGATGGAACGTTCGGCCACTGGCCATCAGCTGCTGCCCATGACTCAGGATTGGTACAGTGATGCTCAGAGCACTGCACAGCCAGTGCCGAGCCTGAATGCTTTCCGGTAGGGACAACTCCTTTCTTTCCGTGCGCCTGAGATGGAAAGGAAGGTCAGTAGCGATGTTTCAGGCACTTTTCACAACCCCTTGAACATGGTTGGTGATCCTAGCATTCATGATGATGTTGGTTGTGTTGTTCATGATCATGTGGTTGTTGGTGATGAAAAACTTTCCCAGGGTTTCCATGGACGTGTTGGAAAAATCTCAGACAGCAGTCAGTGTACAGAGCCAGAACAACCTCCTCCTCCAGCTCTCCAGCACAAGCTAGACGAGATCCCCAACGAGTCAGTGAACAAGAGCCATGCCTCGTGCCACCAGAAAGGAATTGGTGGAAGAGCTCCTGATGACCTTTGGCGAAACAGCTCCAAAACAGTGGAGCATCATGGAGATCGAGAGTCGCCTCTTGGAACTCAAGGAAGCCAACGGGATGGTCACCCAAAAAGGGAAGGTACGGCCACCGATGCGCCATGCCATGATCGAACTGAACAAGGCCAGCAAGAAGAAGGCCGACCTGGTGGACTACGTGAACAACAAGCTCATGGTGAAGACCCGCGGCACCGAGACCATTCAGGAGCTGCAGCGCTTGGGCACCAAGAAGATCTACCAGACCACAGCCGCCTCTCCGGAGGATCCTGTGGGGTTCGGGGAACACTGCAGTCTGCAGTACCACGAGCTTCTAGCCCAACACCCACAGTATGCCAGCTGGGTCGTGAAGACCGCCACCGAGGGGGAGTGCGACTACCGCCTGGCCCGTCTGGCCAATTGGCTCCAGAGCCCAGAGGCACAGCATCCGATGCCGACCTACAAGCAGACCTCCAGCGGCTACAAGAACACATCGACGCCGGCCAGCGGCTCGAATGGCAAGACCGAGAACATGATGATGCAGATGATGCAGATGATGCACGCCCTCAAGGAGGACGTGGACAATCTGAAAGCCGAGAGGCCTCACAAGAAGGTCGAAGCATCCAGTGTCTCCGAGATGACAGAGTCATCAGCAGGTTCTTTTGTGCCGATCCCACAGTAGCTTCAGCTGAGAGTGTGGAAAACTTTAATTTGTCACAGGCGGGAATGCAGGTCGACAGTGAGCTCTGGAGGGGCTCATGGGAAGCCTTACCTGAGCAAAAAGTAAGACACTTGTCCCATTGCAGTGACAGATTGATTTCGAATGCCTTTGAGGCCCTGCTATCACACCAGCGCATAGAGTTGCTGGAAGTGGCATGTTCGGCCGACAGCGTGCTGTCTCGCACCATGCAACAAAAGAAAGGTGACGAGGGTGCGGCCCGACGCTGCTCACTTTTCAATGAGTATGATCTAGGAACCAACCAGGGGATTCACAAAGTCATTCAAGATATTGACCATTATAAACCAAAACATGTTTGGCTTTCTCCGGTTTGTGGACCTTTTTCAGTGATGCAAAACATCAATCAGAGAAGTGAAGCTCAGAAGGAGGCCCTTTCTGAGAAGCGCAAAGCTGCCATGAAACAGTATGTCGGTTGCAGTGTCATATATACGTACTGTATTCAGCATGGTATACATGTCACTTGGGAATGGTCACAATCATGTCAGGCATGGAGGCTTCCAATGATGCAGGAACTGGTGAAGAAACACAATCCATGGTTTGCTGTGGTACGGGGTTGTCGTGTTGGTCTTGTTGATGATGAGAAAAACCCAATTTCAAAAGGTTGGAAACTCATGACCACTCATGCTTTGTTGGCAAAAAGGATGAACATGCCATGTAGTTGTGGGCCTCACCAGAAACATGTGAAGTGCGAGGGTTCCCTTACCAACAAAACTGCCTATTACACCCCCGAATTTGCCCGAAGGGTCTGTGATGCGTTGATTCATGGAGCGGAAGATGAAGACCTCAAAAGGGAGTTTGTGGGAGACCACCAAATTGGGGAAACTTTTGGTAATGGGATCAGTTGCAGTTGTCACCACATTCATGATTCTCAACATGGTTTTGTTTGCGGTTCATGTGTTCATGATGAGCATGAAAGAATCAGGGGAACCAATCATGTGAAGTGTGACAGTAAGGGGGACCACGAAGTTCTGGTTGGGGAAGATAACCAAAAAAGGGGTCAGGGTTTGACTATTGAAGAAATAAGAAAACGACTGTACCTCTTGCATGCTGCCACTGGCCACGGGCCAACCAGACACCTGGTGCAAGCCCTGCGACGCAGGGGAGTGTCAGAGGATGTGCTCAGGGAAGCCGAACGTTTTGAGTGTTCAGTTTGTAAGGAACGGGGTAGACCGAAGCCACGGCCGTTAGCCACCTTGGAGCCTCACCCCCCAAAATGGGCGTCTGTGTCAGGGGATATTGGGCACTGGGAACACCCACAAACTAAGGAGTCCTATCAATTTTTGATGTTCGTGGACGAGGGATGCCGTTTTCGTGTTGGAAAAATTGTTCTTACGGGGAAAAGAAGTCACCTTACTGCCAATCAGTTTGTTGAAACGTTTGGGGAACATTGGGTTCAGTATTTTGGTTTTCCTAATCAGCTCAGGGTTGATCCGGATGGTAGCTTCAGGAGTCATGTGGTTCAAGAATACTGTGATAGGCACCAAATAATGTTGGACATTATTCCGGGTGAAGCTCACTGGAAGGTGGGCATTTGTGAACAGGCTATTCAGGGTACCAAGACTCTCATGAACAAAATAGCTGAAGATGACCCAGAAGTCGCCGCAGCAGAAGCTTTGGCTGAAGCCACTAGGACCTTTAATAGCCGAGAACTGATCCGAGGCTATTCGCCCATCCAACATGCCCTTGGCCGTGCGCCTGATGCTACCGGGCGACTTTTCCCTTGTGGCCCCAGTGAATGTCCAGAGCTGCTGGTAGAGAACGCCTCTGGCGAGATGGATCGCCAGCTCCAGCGAATGCAAAGTGCAGAAAAGGCCTTCCTAGAATGGACGGCAAGCCAGAGACTCCAAAAAGCCAAGAACTCAAAACCCAGAGATGTCACCAACTATGAGCCAGGAGACCTAGTGTATGTGTGGAGAAAGCAAGTGAGCGGCCAAGCAGCCATTAAAGGTGGCTCGTTTGTGGGGCCAGCCCGCATCCTGGCGGTGGAGCAACATCGCTCTCCCGACGGGACCCACAAGCAGGGCAGCTCAATTTGGTGCGTCAGAGGGAGAAGACTTCTCAAGTGCTCCCCAGAGCAACTACGTCGAGCCTCCGAGCGGGAGGTCCTCTTAGAAGAACTCCATGCCAAGCAATATGATGACTGGGACTTTGATAGAGTAGCTCAACAACTTGGAGGGAACGAGTTTCTGGATGTGTCCACCGAAGTACCTTCTTATGCAGAATGGCTACGAGCTCAAGATCCAGTCCAAGAATGGCAACCAATGAGACGATGTGCAAGAAAACGAGGCCCCATGGTAGATGAGATGAGTGGCATGGGACCGGCTCCTTCAACATCCAGGCCAACAGGGCGATCCAGGAGTCCAACTTCCAGGCCTACGCCTTCTACATCTTCAGGGGCACCCGTGTCACAGAGGCCTCGAATGAGCGCCCAGCAAGGCATGGCTGCTGCCCCACCATGGTGGAACCAGTCAAGTGTCCAGGAAGTGTTTGCAGCCACCGAGTGCACCTTCTGGATGGATGAGACCGCGGCCGTGGCCGTGGAGGTTCCCATGCCAGACACACGTGCTGGATCTGAACGAGCTCTTCGAGATCTCCCTTCTTACTTTGCCAGTAGCTTGAAGAAACGGTCAGCAGTTGAAGTCTGTGAGCGTCACCTATCTGAGGAAGAGCGACAACAGTTCCGATCTGCAAAGGCCGTGGAAGTAAGTAACTTCATAGCTGCCAAGGCTTTTGAAGCCCTTCCAGAGAAACTTCGCCCAGCACGCGAACAAGCAGTGAAGATGCGTTGGATACTGACATGGAAGCAGAAGGAGGATGGCAGCCGAAAGGCGAAAGCCAGAGCCGTTCTTTTAGGATACCAAGATCCCTGCTATGAACAGAGAGCAACGACTTCTCCAACCACGACTCGCCAGACCAGGCAACTGCAGATGCAATTAGCCGCTTCATGTCGCCACAAGATGCGAAAAGGTGATGTGACAGGTGCTTTCCTGCAAAGCAGGCCATACCCTGATGACCTTTTTTGTATACCATGCCCAGAGATCTGTGAAAAGATGGGACTCCCAGCAGAGTCAATCACAAAAGTGAAGAAAGCCTGCTATGGCTTAGTTGATGCGCCACTGGAATGGTATCGTTCCATTTCAGATTTCTTTGCAAAACTTGGATTGCAAAAATGCTGGAGTGACGCATGCTGCTGGGTTTATGTGGTTGATGGGGTTACAAAAGGGATTATTTCTGGCCATGTTGATGATTTCCTTTTTAGTGGGGATGAAACGCATGAGGGTTGGTGTACTGTTCTCAAGAGTATCCAAACGGAATATAAATGGGGAGATTGGGAAGAAAAAAGGTTTACCCAATGCGGAGTTCAAGTGGAACAACATGAAGATTTTTCTTTTTCGTTGTCACAATCGAAGTATGTTGAAGACTTGAAATATATCAACCTGAGAGCCTTCAGAAAGAAAGACCGAAATGCACCCACTGAGGAGTCTGAGAAAACACAGCTTCGGGCCTTGCTGGGAGGGGTCTCATGGCACGCACAACAAGTAGCGCCACACTTCAGTGCTGAAGTCGGCTTGCTGTTGTCAGAGGTGAACAAGAGTACTATCGAGACCATTTACAAGGCTAACAGGTTACTTGATAAGGTCAAAGATATGAAAGAACACTGCATGAAGGTACATGCCATAGAGCCACACATGTTGTCACTGTTTGCATGGGTAGATGCCGCCTCTCAGAACCGCGTAGATGGCTCAAGCACACAAGGCATTATAGTTGGAATTTCATCTCACCGGTTGCGTCATGGCAGTTGTGAGCCAGTCACCTTTGTCGCCTGGCATTCGCAGAAGATTGGCAGAATCTGCCGCAGCCCCGGAGCAGCAGAAGCAGCAGCAGCAAACAACGGAGAAGATCTCCTCTTTTTTGCGAGATTCCAACTGGCAGAAATGATGGGAGCTCAAGTCAATGTGAGAGACATCAACAGTGTCGTCAACCAGATCAGTGGATGCCTGGTTACTGACTCCAGGAATGTGTACGACAAGTTAGAGACCGAGGTCTTGTCCGTAAAGGGCGCTGAGAAGAGAACAGACCTGGAGTTACTCTCCTTGAAATCTGCCCAGATTCGCAATGCTGTGGAGATTAGGTGGGTTCATAGTGAAGCTCAGCTATCAAATGGACTGACCAAGAGCAACGAGCACAAGCAACTGCACCTGTTCTACCGCATGGGCCACAAGTGGCGCATAGTCGAAGATGAAGAAAGAGCGTCAGCTCGGAAAAGGAAACTGCTAGGCCTGGAGCCTCTTGAAAACAGAAAGAGTCAAGGGCCAGAAATCAAGCCTGAGACACCATGGAAACTCACGGAATGATTTTTCGTCTTGTTTGGTTTTTGTTCTTTTGTCTTGGTTTTGGTTTTTGGAGAAAATGTTCAAGGGGTAGCATCACCATCTCATAAGGAGAAAGAAGATGCGGGGGGCATGCTGTTTTTACCACAGCACTCATAGGCGTTGACATGCCTATTCCGTGAAGTATTGGCTGAAAAGAGCCGCGGAGCGAGATTCATGAGGCGTTGATCACCCCTCCTTGTCCAATCGATTCCAGTGACTCTTCATATCCTACTTGAGCACTTCTACCGCTTGCACATCATATATAATTAATATATAAGAGATTGTTTGTGACAAATAGACACTTCGAATTGACTTAACATTAGGTTTCTATCTCTGTTGAGGACTGAAGCTGGTGTTGGTGCCTACTTCCTGCGTCAAATCTTTCCATCTTTCCTAGATGAGCTTCTTCAAAGGCAGCCTGAAGAAAGAACATGAAATGTGATTTACATAGAAACCGAATAACGAACAATGATGGGTATGTGTCATATGTATATATATATACATACAGTGAGTATACATATACACAATCCACAAAGAAACAGGAGTCGCTATGAGCTTTCAACCAAATGAAGGACAGAATGTGGAAGGCAGTACGACCAAAATAGGTCCAGGAGATCCAGTGCTGGATGAACGAAAATTTCAATGAAACATGAGGAGATCGTGCCAAAGTCCAACTACAATAGAGACATGTACATACGTATATATATATATATAATATTATATAATGACATATAAGAAAATCAAAGAGCGTACTGCACTGGATGGAACAGGCAAAGCAAGGCCAAGCAGCCTGTTTGCAGATTTCATGTAGTAGGAAAGGGAGTCATGGAACCGCAACAAACAGCTAAGGCAAAAGCTGCCGGTCCAAAGAGTGTGAAAACGCGCCAACCACGAAAAAATAGAAAAAACAGCCATCCAAAAGGTAGTGAACAGTTGAATGACTTCAGTGGTGCAGCAGATTGAAGCCAGTAAAAGAAGAAAAGAGGAGAAAAGAGGAGATCGCTGAGAGATCGGAGTGTCATAGTACTGTACCCCTTTCCATCCTCTGGCTCCTGCACCTTCCCGTGTCCATGCTCACTGGCACCAGTGACCACAAGCTTTGACGATGACATATTTCCCGCCTCGAAATCTGGAAGCAAACATATTGAAGAAAAGGGAAGACAAGACGCTGGCAATGACTGATGACAAAAATGAAGAAAACCCAAAGGTTGGTTATAGAAAGACGTTGACAAATGTAAAAGCAATTGCTCATGCTCAGAAGGCCTCCAGGGTCTTGTTCACCGTCACTAGTTTTAGAGCAGCTGCTGGCTTTTGGGCTGCCTGTCCGTGCAAGGGCCGTGAGGAGTGTTGCTCTTCTGAGAGACACATGCAAAATACCTCGTTTGCCATGTGACTTCGCCTGTTCCATGGGCTTGCTCTTGGAAACCAATTGCAGGGTTTGCGGCAATGGAAAGCGAAAGAGCTGGGGTGCGTGGGGCTCCTGAACAGAGTACTGGGCAGTCAAAGTACATACTTTAGTCACGTCTTTAGTTCTACAGTAGATTACTCCACATCTACAGAAGAAAAAGGCTGAACATACCAAAAGGTCCTCAAGTCTGCCTTCAGTACGAAGCACGCTGGACATCTTGCAGTATTAGAAGCTTGTCCACAAGCAACAGCCACCCGACGGAGTACCCTCAATGGCAAAAGCCGCAATTATATACCACCTAACTGCATCTAACTGCAAGCAGGCAGCAAAATGCTGACATCAGCCCACCAAACAGCAGTGTACAACCAAATGCTTGATAGCGTATCTCGGCAGCACCCTTCCCCCTTGCTGAGTATTTCTGCACATCGCTGCACCTTCCTTTTCCCAATCTCTTCACTGTGAGACAAAAGCAATCAAGCTGGCAGAGGCACAATTACTGGTGTCCATACCAGTCTGAGTCTGAGAAATTCAGTCTGGAGCCTGGATCTTGAGGACAAGAACATATTATACGCAACACTAAATAAACAAGTTTTTGTGCAGCAAGAAACGCAAAACGGATCTCAAATCCACAAATCAACAGCATTTCCGATGCAAGGCAAAAAGTCACGGATCGAAAGTCCTCGGCGAGAAGGTACAAGCTGCCGCCAGCACTGCACATGCCTGTGTCAGTAGCAATGCACCACTCCCTGATTCCCTGGAGCGAGTCAATATACTTGGGTGTTTATTCATGTGTTTATTTATTTATGTATTTATTTAGCTGCATGTGCATATTATATATATACATATACATATACATATACATATATATATACATATATACATATATATATATATATTGAATTATACAAATTATATATATATAGCAAAGTCATGCTTTATGCGACGAATAGTCAGCGGGCACATGACACGACATTCAATGCATGACAAAGAGTCGCATGACATCACTCTTGGCTCAAGTTCGCCTGTCCATCGTTTCTGGGCAGGAAGAGGCCAACGTCCCAGCAATTTGCCTCCGTGACAGAAAGCAATGGCAGCCACAGAGAGAATCCTTTTTTGAACATTTTCTTCCATGGAGCCTATGGGTCTTGTTCTCGTCCACAAGATGGTGACTTTGTTCTCGCTGTTCTTTGGTGGCTTTGATTAGGCCACACTGTCCTTGCTTTTCTTTTAGATGGTTTGTCTATATCTGGCCACCTACCTATGGACCTGACGTGATTGTTATGGCGAGATCGCTTAGCAAGGGCCCTGCGAATGCTGTGCTAGCAGCAACCAAACATGCACAGCAAGCTCTTCTGAGTTCAACCTTGAAAATGACAACAGAAACCGGCCCGCTCAATGCGGTAGAGTGGTGTGATACTGAAGCACTGGACGCCAATGAATCAGGTGTTGCCGTCTGTTTTTTCCCCAGCCCCGCAAAAGAACCTACATTAATGTTTTATAGGTAAATTCCATGTTGCCAAAGCGTGAAGAAACAGTGATGGAATCCCTTTCAGATCGCTTGAATGATGTTTCTTCTGGACTATTGATTTATTGTCCCAGATGCCAAATATTTTTTCTGCTGTTGATGTTCCTTCATCTGAACTTCATCTCATCAGTAGCTTTCTCCATGAAAAGAGACAGTGTCGCATTTTCAAAATTTCCAAATCCAGTGCCTGAATTCTGAATGTCGAACACCTGGAGCTGGGTCCCATCATCACCGAGCATGCCCAAATAGCGGTCGCCCAGAATGTGGAGATCACCACCTTCAAAGAATCTCGACTCACCGACTCACCATACGAAATTCGTACGTTCGTTGCAGATGAAGATCTTTGAAGTATTCTCTTGCGGAGATCTATCAATGAGGTCCCTGACAGGTCGCATGAAGTCACACCATGTTCAACAGATTTGTTCAACAGAAAACGCTCAACGGAAAACAGATGTTGTTTCGCAGTTTACAAATTTTGCAAGAACTCTGTTTGAGCACCTCGTCGTAGGGTGCTGTGTGTATCAGCCATCAGGACGCGTGTAGGCAGCCAATCAGGCCGCCCCGAGCCTCCAACGAAGCCAACAAGGAAATACGTGAACTTAGCACAGCTAGGTTGTGATATGGAGATGATACGGATGCCAGTTTGGATCGCATCCTGAAGACACACATGCTTTTCCAACAAAATGCTGCAGCTCCTTGCATCTTTCTTTTGTTCATCTATTGTGTATGGAAAATGTAGAATGCATCATATGTATGTGTATATATATATAATATGTACATAGTCTTATACATATAGTATGTATATATATATGTATATATATAGTTAGGGATAGCCTTGCCCATCTTCCAGCCATTGAACCCCAAAACATTTTGAAGCCACCCAGCAGCTCATTAAAAAAAAACACACACAACCCACTTTCCGAATAGCAAACAATTTGTGGTCAATTCTATCTTTTCAACAAGCCCCCCACGCATAGTCATGAAGAGATTTCCGTCGAAAAGGGTATCCAGCTGGTCAGACCAAAGACTTTCCTTCAGATATTTTAGATGGTGCATCACTGCATCACAAGCAGCTCGGCGCTTTTCTGAGCACCTCTTGACTGCCTTCCTTTAGAACTGTCAGCTGCCGTCTACATCCTGAAGTACCGCCGAATTGCTGAGACAACAAAGAACAGGAGAGCCGCGAGAGCAAGGACCGTCACTACGAAATTCATGGTCTGTTGGGTGTCATACCTGTCGTCGATGAGGCTCTTCGCCTTTTCACTTGTCGTCCCGAAGGAATCCCCGAAGGAATCGATCTTCGCGGAAATCGCTGCCAGTTGTTTGTTGATTGTCACCAGCTCCTCTGTTTGCGCCAGAGTCGCCTCCTTGATTGTCACCAGCTCCTCTGTTTGCGCCAGAGTCGCCTCCTTGATCGTGTTTGCAGAAAATATGAGAGAAGCAGTCAACACATAATTTGCAATGACCAGATTGGATAGTTGGGGGCTTTCTGGTGTTGGGAGTCTGTTCTTCGGCTCCTGCCCAAAGAAGGCGCACCCACCCCAGTGGATACTGAGGAAAATCACCAATCCAACAACTGCCAAAAGTCGAGCCATTGCGAATTTTGAGGAGAGATTCAAACACCTGTTGAATAAAGGAACTGTGTGCTGATTGTGCGGACTTGTCAATTCGTGATTTTGCTTTGTCCGATTTGATCTAGCATAGAGGGCAAGGCCAGATCGGCTGCTTGAAGCAAATGCACAGCATCAAGCTGATTGTGAACCTCGAGAAGCTCTTGCCATGTCTTTTTCCAGAAAGGTAGAACTTGTGTATAAAGCAGGTGAAAAGTTTGACATCATGACTGAGAATGGCGTTTCTGCTTCTCTGTTCTATATATATATATATACATCTGCAGTTGTGCCTCTTTAGAATATATGTATGGTAAAGCGATATTTAGCCCATAGGACTGAATATCTCATATATCAAATCCGCTGGGATTTTGTATAATCCCATTGCAGAATATCTACAACAATGTCAGCATCTTTCTAATCAAAAGAAATAACATCATAGCCTAAAATATCCGCAACTATGCCGACACTTTTAGTACCTGAAAATAACTCTAATAATGTTTTGCTCATGATTACAGCTATTTTGAAATTAAAAATAAGTATCTTCTCTCTCATCATACTTAACATTGTAGTAGTCCAATGTGGATTGTTTCGGTTCTCTTATTTCGCCATTGTTCAATTTTCCAAGGTAAATATTTTTCTTGCGGAATGGTGGGTCATTTTCATCAGCAGGTGATATTTTGGGCTTCCATTCTAGCTTCTTTACCCTCTCCGTAAGTGCTTGAAATTTCAATTGAAAGTATTCAAAATTCTTGACCACTTCATCTGCAACATCATTGATGGTTTGGCAATTATTCATTTGGTTCTTGCTGGTTTCCTTTGGCAGTTGCTCAACCCTCTCCTCAAATGACATATATAGTAATGTAGAAAATAAAATTAAGCTTTGTTTTGAAAGTTGAACGCAACATCAACTCTTTAGAACATTTTATGGGAAACTATTATTTTCAGTCCATATCATTTATTGCCATTTGTTGTTTGCTACCACTACTTCTTAGAGTGCTCATTACATCACTTATCATCTTGTTAGTGCTTTCTACCATTTGTAATCTGCCTGTTCCAACAAAAAAAGGATATGCTGTGGTCTTCACTGTCTAATTTTATATCCCCGTTGTCATCCCTACTAACATTCATCGTTTTATCATTTTTTTGTAAGTTTGAAACTGCAGGGATTACAAGAACATTTAATGCCTTTGGGGTTGATTTCAATTTCATTTCTTAACTGTAATTTACCATTGCATAAGGGACACTCAAAGGTGATAAACTTACTGGATAATTTTTGCTCCTCCTTCAGATTGACAGTAGCGGGTTCATCGTCAGACAGTTCAAAGTCTTCAGGGATAGGTTGTTTTTTTCATTTTACTAACTTTCCTTTTTGGTGGCATCTACTATATGATATTTAAGATAATTCAATATCATTTTGATAAATTCAAATATTAACTTACGACTTACATAACATTTTCATCTTACCATCTTCAATGACTGGGAATTTACTGTCATCTGATATTCTGTCTTCTATTTCATCAAGTGTCTCCAAATAAGTGTCATACTCATCAGTTGCAATTGGATATAATTAGATTATATTTTCAAAATCTAATTATATCATCTATCACAAAAGGGCGATGTAGCAATTGGCACATAAAAAAGCGGGGTGTCAAAATGTCTCAAAAGGGAATTTTACTTAGCGTAGATATTGAGAGTTCCGTATCTTCTAATGCTTCTAACAAAGAGCGAAAATAGACTGGCAGTAAGAAAACAAACTAATTAACGTCTTCTGCGGGTATATGGCAGTCTGTTTCAAATTTCACGACCCCAATTCAGCAAAATAAGATATGCCATTACAATATATAATATATTCTATTTTTTAAATAATTTATATTATGCAACAACTGGATATACCAAAAATAGAACCTATAAATGTAATTAAAACAATATGAATTCAAACAATCACAATACCCTCAAGCAGATAAATTGCCTTTTAGGTCAATCATTGTTTCAGCATCACAAGGGGGAAAGGGTATATTGATACAGAACCTTATTTTGAAAATCTACAGAGGGTGCTTTGAGAGAATATACCTTGTATCAACGACAACACACATTGACGAAGCCTACAAGGAGGTCATCAAATGCATTGAAAAAGAACTGAAGATAGACAACAAAAAAGAACAATACCTATTTGATGAATACAATGCCGAAGCATTGGAACATATAATAGACACACAGCACAAAGTAATAGAATACCAGAAGAATAACAAAATGAAAAAAAATATTTAGTTGCCTGTTAGTAATTGATGATTTTGCTGAAGACAAGACATTTATGAGATACAGTAAAATCCTACACGGATTATACACAAAATCAAGACATTTTGGATTATCAGTCATAACAGCCAGCCAAAAATACAATGCTTTAGCACCAATAGTTAGATTGAATACCAGTTCATTGTACATCTTCAAACTTAAGAATATGGCAGAAGTTGATGCCTTTGTCCAAGAGCAGTCGGCATTGGTTGATAAGAAGACAGTATATGACATCTACAAAATAGCCACTGAAGACCAGCCTTACTCATTTCTTTTTGTAAAGTTAAGGGAGAGCGATTTGAATAAGATTTTTATGATAAGATTAGAAAAGGCTATACATATTAATTAACCATATTATACAGAAATAATACTACTAAATTAATGAATAGGAGCACAGGTTTATTGCTGGCAGTTTATACATTATCCTATCGCTTTTCTTGTCTTCTATTCCTTAATCTTTTCTGCCATTTCTTTTATTGCCTTTATTTGTAGTTTATCTATTTTACTAATGTCTAATTCATCTTCATTTATATTATTGATTTCTTCCATACAAGTATTTTTAATTGTAGATTGCTTAGAGCCCATTATATAAATAACCTATATTTAAAATTCTACTAAATTAGTTTTTTCTTCACTCTTCGCTTTTGGTTTTGGTTTTGGTTTTGGTTTGACATAACCTTTAATGAAGTTTTCAACTTCAAACAATCTACTTTCCAAATGTTCTATTTTTTGTTGTTGCTCCCTTACACAACCCCATAAAATGGAGTTCATCTTAACATAGCTTAATTTCTTAATGCCATCCACTTCAACGAGTATATTTTCAACTTTTTCTGGTATATTTTCTTCCACCTCCTCTTCTATAAAACCTATATGACTTTTAGTTATTCCCATTTCTTTTTCTTCTTTCATTTTGAAAGTATGAGGTTTAATGCTATTTACTATTTTTGTAAAATTGAAGTCTGCTTCTTCAATATCATATTTCATATCTTTTTGTGATGTATCCACCAAATCGCCTTCTAATGTATAAGGTGCTGGAACAGAAACTTTTGATGGCGTGACGAAAAGTCTTATGCCACCATTAGCATAAAATCTTATATCTCTGTTAGGGTCTTCATTGATTAACTTGAAATGATTAACACCTGCTGTATTTTCATTAAATATAAAACTATTCTTATCAGTTTCTTTATGAAAATATGCCTTTTTGTCTTGATTGATGTATATATCTTTTGAAAAATTAACATCTTCATCTGCTTTTCTGTATCTCATATATTCTACTAAACCGTCATCTGTTGTATTTCTACCTTGAAAAACCATATCAGCGCCAAAATCTCTATTGTAAAAATAATCTCCATAAATATATTGAGACGACAACGCCCTACCGGTTGAAACATCAATAATATGTTTAGTGCCGTCTAATGTAAAGAAATTAACACCACCTCTTTTAAAGACTACATTAGTAGGAGTGGCACTATCAATTACATCAAACTTACCACTTTCAGCAAGTAATGATATACCTGTATTTACTTCTACATTGCCATTTCTAAAATACATAAAATCTATTGTGTTCCTTCTAAAACTGACATCAACATTACCGATACTATCATATGTGTTTGATTTAGCACCTTTTGTTAGTTCCACTGCTTGTAGTGTTCCTTCAAACTTCATATATTCAACATCACCTCTTTTGAAGACCAAATCAACATCAGTAGCATTTTTTGTATTGATAATATCGGTTTGTAATTCGGTATGACACACAACATCTACATTAAAATACGCCTGAGTGTTTGATAATTGAAATTTTAAGTGCTGAGGAAACGGACTACCACCAATATAAAACCGATGAACTCCAGCAGAACCAAAAATACAATAATCATAAGCAGCATTGCCACTTCCTATATTGATAGAACGGATATAACCTTTACCAGTTCCTAAATTAATCACACCTCCTAATGGAAATTCTATGGTTGCATTAAAATAAGTAGTACCATTAACCGTTAAGTCATAAGTAGAAAATTGAGAACCACCACCTATGACCAAATCGCCTTCTATTGTTTGTAATGTCTCACCAGTATATTTTACTAAATTAGTGTCATCTACCCCTCCACCTCCAATATCTGGACTTGTCGGTTTATGAAATGTAATTAAATCATTTTGTAGTGTCATAACCAAATTAGTTGTAGCATCTGGCACTGTGGGACTACCTACATAAAATTTAATTTCACCCGTGCTCTCATTCATTACATAATTCATTATTGTTGATGCGTTCTTACTTTCAATATAATCACATAAAATGTTATTAATACATTCTACATTGTTTGAAAAGTATGAAGCACCATTAACAGTTAATATATTGCTTCCATTTTTAGCACCATTAACGGCAACAGTCCCCGCTACTTGTTGGTCGGTTTCTCCTGTCAGTTTTAAGCAATTTGAATTGTGTCCCCTGATAAATCTAAATTGGTAGGTTTGTTAAATTCAACAATCCCGTTTTTCAATGTCATAATTAAATTAGTTGTTGTATCGGGGACTATTGGACTGCCTACATAGAATTTAATTTCGCCGGTGCTTTCGTTCATAATATGGTTTATGATTGTTGATGCATTTTTACTTTCAAAATTATCACACACAATAAAAATTTCACATTGAGTTTTAGTATTCAATACCGTCAGATTATCTTGAAGTTCAATCATACTGACATTGTTTCTTCTTATGATTAAATCCAATGGTGCTATTGTATCTATCTCCTGTGTTTTAAGATTGCCCCCTTATTGGATGATTTTACTTGCTACGATTTTACTTTCAGAAACGTCATATTGTATATAAGTATCGCTGTTGCTTTGAAAAAGTATATCATTGGTATTAAGTGCATTAAATGTATTTGACTGAATATTTGAACCTTTGATATAACCGCTACTATCTAATGATGCTACTAAATGATTACCGTTGATTTCACCATCCCCATTTGCATAAAAGTCTTTGCTTGATGCTACACCATTCAAAATGATTTTTGATAGACCGTCAATATGACCCAGTCTCAAAGTTCCGGACATATCCTGTGGATTGTTGATATTCAGTTTGTCATTCAGTAATGTATCCGTCTCCGATTTATTTATTATTTAATAAAGCATCTGTCTCAGTTTTATTATAGTAATTTGTTAAATCAGTCGTGCCTGTTCCTCCTCCTCCTCCATTGATGATTGCTGTATTTACATACTGCTCTGTTGCTAAATTTGATGAACCCGTTGCTAAAAGTTTGATAAATTCTGTTCCTATGATAGTATTGCCACCGTCCAATTGAACCATTAAATATAAAATAATTGAGATATTATTTTATATTTATTTTTTTTAGTTTTTGAAGAAAAAACTAATTCATACATAAATTATTGTGTCTTTCTTGCTTTTGTTTGATGAATTCATTTTGTAATAACTGATAGTGTTGTGCAAGTGCCGAAATATGGTTTATTGGTTGTGGCGGTTGCTTCTTCTTAATGAAAGGTTGTGTTGGTGGGGCTTCTTCTTCATCACTATAATACACTTCTGGGGGCGGTTTGACTGGTTTTGGTTTCGGTTGTTGCTTTGGGCGTGGGTTGGTATGTTTCTTAACAGGGCGCTCTGATAGATTACCTTTACAGTTCTGCTCGTGCCCGTATCTGTATGATTTCATCTTCATTGATTTATTACATTTGGGACAGGTAATTATCCTATCTTGCGCTCTTATTGGTTTTGGTTTTGGTTCAACTCCAACTTTGTTGGAGTTCAAGAAGTCTCCGACTTGTTCTTCTTCCTTAATTACTTCTTTGGGTTCTTCTTTTGGTTTTTCAGTGGGTTCATCAATGATTTCATTAGTTAATTCAGGTTGCTCTGCTTCTTCTTTTGCTTCTTCAATTGCTGGTTGTTCTTCCTTAACCTCTTCATTTTGTAAATCAACAACTGTTATACTCATTATATAAGGTGCTATAAAATTCTTCAACAATTCTATATATTTAGTTTGACGGAAAATATATAGAATGTGTGTTTAGGTTAGTTGCCTGTTATGATTTCAATTAATATGACGGGTGGCCAAATACCAGTGAAAATTGACAAGGTATATCATATAGGTTGTGTATTGCTTTTATCATCAGTGATGCGAAAGGTTAATCTTTTGAGATTTTTACCACCAACATTTATATATATAGTCTTCTGAAAGCGGGGCTGAATTATCATTTATAATGCCCCCCAGTTGTTCTGATACAATAACTTTTCTGATGATAGAAGATGAATAAGTTGAAGGAGACATCAAATGATGGTCGGCTAATTCTGGACTGTTTATATAAACGGCTCTAAAGGGCACTAAATTAAGGTATGAACTCGTCCAAGTAGCAATGGGTGAAGTGGCAACATAATTACTCAATAGCTAGTTTATTGATAATGGATTTGAACTATCATAATTTGACTGTGTTGTATTCCAAGTGTTATTAACATAGTTTTTCAATTCTGTATCTGTAGGTATTTTCAGTTTGTAATTCAAGCCGTCCTTAATCTTAAACTCCACTGTTCTTGTAGCACTGCTATAGGAATAAACAAAAATGCCACCTGCCGTTAAGTCTTCCGTGTTGCTGTTCATACCCTCATTCATATCGTAAGCAAGTTGTTCGGCAAAGTAAATTTTGTTTCCTAAATAGACCCTAAAGTGTTTAACAAATGTATCGGTATTATCAAACACCATCACATACAAATATTCAAAGAAGCCAACTTCGGTTGTTTTGAAAGTGGCTGGGATTGATACTTCTGTTATATGAAGCCTTGTTCCTTCGGGACACTCCATATTTTGGTCTAACTCAATGATAAAATCCGATGAAGACCTTGATTGAGACAATCTAAAGGCACTATCCACCAAGACCTTTTTGTAAGTCAATTTCTTACTCATCATATTATTTATATTATTACTTTAGATTTTATAATTAATAATATACATAATATGATAGGAATTATTGGTGGAGTAGCAAGAACTGCTTTATCACAAGTCGCCAGACAATTTGGTAGAGAAGTTGCTGATAGGATTATGGCAGGTGAAAACATCGAGAACATCCTAACAAGAGACCAAATGAAAGAATTAGCAAAAAAATAGGTAGGGTGGCATTTAATGAACTACTGAAGCAAGGCAAGTATAAATTCATAGAAGATTACAACACGAAGAATGCCGATTGGAATGCCAGAATGAATGACTTTACACGCAACCTTGATGATGAATTCAGAAAAAACACTACTTTATACAAAGAAGTAAGGAACATACAGAACAAAAACAAAATTGAAGACCGCAGGGGATTATGGAATGCTTACGACAGCCCAAGCGGATTGTATAAGACGGGAGATACTTTGTATATTGCTGGAACTGGTGGCAAGGATGGTTCATTGTCAAAAGACATAATGGATGACTTATTATTAGTTCCGACGAGAAATGTAAAGCACAGCGAAAAATACCAAGATGTAGCGAAATACCTAAAAGACAACCCTGATGTAAAGCGCTTGGTTTCTGATAAGCCCCCTCATTTGATTTGTTTATTGATTAATCTTATTGAAAAAATGATGGATTAAAATTTGCAGGGTTAGATATTTGGAAGATGGGCAAGGGGTCATCTAACTTATATATATATACATTGTAATATACATAGTTATTTATATATATTGTAATATACATATTTATCATTGATTATAATTGCATATAATTGCACTAATTGCACATGTATGAATAATCAAGAATGCATGGTGTTTGTTTCCTTCATGATCTGTTTGATGAGTTGGCACTTCCAAATGGGTTGTTCAAACGTCACCTCCAAGGCCAGACTTCATCTCCACCAGCCGGCCACTGGTCGTCTCTGCGTAGGCGCAATTCTGCTCACCTTTGGAGGATCAAAAGCACCATGCTGCGCCATGCTGCGCCATGCTGTACCATGCTGTGCCCTGAAGTCGTGGGAGTCATGGGAGTCATGGGAGTCATGGGAGTCATGTCCAGGAAACATTCAAGAAACGCGTTCAGGAAACGCACAGGAAGTGTTCCCGTGTGCCTGTAGGAAAGGAAGCTGATCATAGCTAATCCCAATAAAAGGCACAAGCAAATTGAAGGTTCAATGCAGCATCTACATTGTCTACATCTGTAGACTGTATCAAGACTTCCGATACGGGGAGAGTCTTGAATCTCATCTCACCCCTGCAAGAGTTGTTACATGTCAAGTCCAAAAAGTTGTCTGAAGACATGCCCAAATGCACCTGAAGCTTTGCCGCAGTTTTCCAACAAAGCTAGGGATGAAACCTGCAACTAAACCGTCAAATACACTGGATCCAATTGTTACTGAGACTCTATCTAGCTAGTCTAAACAAAGTCAAGGCTAGTGCAGTCTTCTTCACATGCGACAGCTCGCCACAAAAGCTGGCATTCCATGGACTTGCCAGAATCTTCCTGTCCTTGCAGCTCTTTGCAGTGCATGTCAGTACTTGTCAGTGCTTGGTGCACCTCTTCCTGTGCTTCACCTGCAGCTGCATCACCTTCACCCAGCCAAGCGTCACTCAGTGACATGGCTGCCTCGGTCTGCATCGCTTTCCAGAGATGCGTTGTTGAGCACGCACGCGTTGTTTGAAATCTATCATATATAATCTACGATATAATATTATATATAATATACAGATAATATATATATAGTACATTATGTATATGATATATATATATAGAGTATATTGTATTATGTATGTATATTATTGTATATTTATGTAGTATGTTGTATTATGTATGTGTATATATAGTATGTTGTATTATGTATGTGTCTTTATCTATATATATATATACATGTTATATTTATTTATACGTATATATAATATCTAGTATGTCATGATACAGTCTAAAATCCTCACCCTCAGCATCTTGGGGCGAAGGTCCAAAAATTGTTCTGTGAAATTCAGATTGAGAGTGGCCATTCAGGCGGATCTGACAGCTAAGCTCTCGACTGTTTGTTCGGTTGGTTTTTGTGTGAGTGCACAGTTGGTCAGCCGCTGTCCCTGACGGTGCAGCACCAGTGCACACTTGCCACGGCAGGCGACAGCCACATCTTGGAGGGCCTGTCGCAAGGGAAACACTTTGAGTTGTGCAGTCTGTGCAGCGTCAAGCAAGTCACATTTAAAATGACGAAATGACAATAGATTTAAAGTTTAAAAATGTTACTTGAGCATGTAGTTTCTGTTTGTTCACAAATTGCACTGCGGAGTCCAGATTTTTTAGTTGAAGCCTCGCCCTCAAGGGCATCGCATGCTGGCGCGTAATTGAAGGCTGCAGAGCGGAAAGCTGTGGATGTGTTATTCGCACCCACGCTCTTCCTGCGACGAGTCAAGAGTCAACAGATTGTGCCGCCAAAAAAGTGTTCCATGCTAGTGTTGGGTTTTGCAATTTTCTGTGACATGTGCGTCCATTTCTTCGCACAAAAGATCCTTTCCAAACCATTCATATTATATATATATCGGCAAAAGCTGCTCGACCACTTTACTCTTCACTTGGTTTCTCTCAGTTCACTCAGAGTCCTCTCGAATTTCTTATTTTTGAAATCATTCTCTCAGTTTACTCCCAAGTTCTCCCCGAGTTCTCCACAAGCTTCTTTTCCCTGTTCAAATCCGCTCCTCTGCATCAGTTCAGCCTGGAAAAGCCCAAAGCGGCTAGCTGCTGCCAGCATCACATTGCTGCCGTCTGGCGCACATGCCAAACGCCGTGGCAAAGCACCTGGAGGCCAAGATGTATCGATCTGCTCCTTGGCGTAGAAAGGACTTTTGAAAGTGACACTTTTGAGCATGTAGAGGACAAGGTGGCTGAACAGCGCATGTGTTGACACGTATCCATGTATCATTTTGCAATAATGCGATCACACGTGCTTCACATTAACCTGAGTCTCATGTACCGTAATTCTACCTGCAGTTTCGTTCTTTTGGGCCAAAAATGTTGCTTTCACCCTGCAAATGTTGTTTGCGAGTGGTTGCATGTTTCACAACGTCTCTTTAAACTTTCAAAAATGTGGCTAAATGCATTCCAAGAAACACCCAACAGCGGCTCGAACTCAGAAGATTTGCTTTCCAGTTCAAGCCTCAATCAAGGGACTACAGCACCGCACAGAAGATAAGAGGACTCATGCACAAATCTTGCGGGCTAATGTCAGTTCTATGTCAAAGTAACAATAAGTTTCATCACAGAACCGTCCAGTTCAAAATCCGAATCTTGTTCATTCGCTTGCAATCTGTGGAATGAATTTCAACGTATGACAGGGCAACAGTTTCATGTGCGCATAGTATAATTAATTTTGCAAATGTAATTTAATGTAGTTGTTTCTGTGTGTTCTTTACTTCGAAGAATTCAAATTTAACTGCTGCAAGCCAAGTGGCAGAAATGCAGCGCCCTGCTCAATAGGCTGAGGGCCTTCCAAACGGCTTCATGTAGCGCCCTTCTCAAATGGAAGTTGCACTTGTCACCAGTGCGAAGTTTCAATGCTCTGTGTACACCGTGAAGTCATGTGAAGTCTCTCTGTCAAAAAAATATAGACCTATCTCTGCCTATCTCTGAAGTCTCAGGTTGAGGGCCTTCCTCGCTGTCACGAAGCAATGGCGACACCCGCAGTGCTGACCAACCGGATGCCTTATAGAGCAACCGCACAAAGACAAAGTGAAGGATGTGCAAAATGTACTAAAACGACGAGTCGCTTGTTCGCACAAAGTTGCAAAAGGGCTATATATATATGTCATTAACAATGTGAACTCTGTGTGCAACAAGTCAGCAATATTCAGTAATAATCTATGTCATTCTTACCATTCCGACTTGCCTGCAGAAGAATCAGCACGCCACTGATCCACCAAAGGATCAACAACCTTGGACAAGTGATCAACCGAGGAAGTCCGTTTCTCATGCACGAGCACATAAATATGGCTCAACTCTCAACTGTCGTCAAATATGGAAGACAACACTGAACATTGACAAGCCTAGAGCATTGCTAAAGATTGCACGAACAAAACAGCAAAATGCAAAGGTCTCGCCAGGAAAACAGTAAAATCTGTGTAAGCTTTGGAGCAATGAAGTCGCACTGCAGAAGATCCGCCACGGCACTAGACCAGGCTTTAAGTATGGATGGATATCCTCACAGTTCGACTCTGGATACAAAAAACGTCTCGAAAAGGATCAAGCCTTCCATCGTATGGCCGTGCACATGTCCTCTTCATGGTTTGCCTTTTGCCCATCCTGAGGGTCAAAGGATGTCAAAGGCGACACAGACAGCACGATACAGTACGTGACAGCAGACGGCACAGCTCAGTGCCTTCTCTCTGGGCACGAAGGTGGTCGGATCGAACATTTCCTTCGTGGCCAAATGCTCCGGGGCAGGCTTCGAAGCGCCTTGAAACTCTTGAAACACCAGGTCAAAGGGCCAAAGGGCCAAAGGGAAAGCAATTGACACGTTCCAGGTATCTCCAGGTACTGTATTCACTGTCATGGCATGCCGCCAAAACATCCGTGGTCTGTTGGCGCTGCGGAAAGCCCTTTTGGAGACAAGAAGTGAACAGATTGGGAGACAAGTGGTGCGACAAGAGGGAAGACAGAAGGAGATGAAAGTCTGTAGGCTTTCCAGAGAATAGGAACGCAATTGGAAAGATCTGCGAGGCCAGCCTAGAATAAAAAGGGAGGATAGGATAGGATCCGGAGCATTTTCAACAAACAAAAATGGAAAAACAAACAAAGACAATTTAGAAACAATTCAAAAACAGATGGAAACATGGAAACAGATGGAAACATGTCGAAAGTCCCAGCCTGGAAGCTGCTCTGGGCGGGTGGCCTTGGGGCCTTTCACAAAGCATCCTTCGTAGTTCACCGCTGCCATGGCTGGACCTTTTCCCGGAACTGCCTCACCCAGAACTTCCTCGCCCTCAGTGCAGAACGAGTTCTGACCAAAAGAGAATGGAGATATCCTCACAATGCAAGTGCAATTTCACATTGAAGACAATGAGTTCTGGGAGCTTGAGAATGCATGAGAATGCTATAATGGCCAAGGCTCCGCTTCTTCCTCTTCCGCAATTTCGCTGGGAAGGCGGACTTGGACACTAATCGGCGATTCACTGTGCTCCTGTCAGATCAAGTGCATCCAGAATTGACTTGGCCGCTTTGGTCGGTTGATGCCATTGTCAATTGATGTCAATTGTACATGTTCGATAGAAGGAAAACAAACCATGTACATGTCGCATAACAATTGCTTTGGCACTGCATTGGCAGTAAACAAAATACCCGACTCAACCCAACCGAACGGCATCTTGCCTGTGCAAATAGCCACGTACATCAACTTCTTTGGATTTGGGAAACAGGCAACCTGATTTGACCTGATATGACCTGATTTAACACGTCTCTCCTCTGAAAGATTCTACAAGGACCTCTGAAGTGTCACCAGCACCACACTTGCTAGCAAAGGGGATTGCGGCTTGCACAAGGTTTGCCCCGAAAGGTTTGCATGGTTTGCATGGTTCACTTGCAGCTCTTTCATGGGCAACTGACTCGCCCCCTCTTGAACCCCTTTCTTGCCTTGGCACGAGCTCTTTTGATCCAGCCAAAGACATCAATGTACCTCACCAAAGCTGGAAGACTCTCCAGCATGGAAACAAGAACTCACATTTTCCAGCAAGACTTGAAGTTCAAAACAACGAGTTGGAAGTTGTATATGTTTTGCATATCTCAGCAATGCTGTTTTAGCTTGGGCACATAACAGAGCGGAAGCCGGTTGGCAGCATTGCCCCACCTTCCTGCTCCCCTACCTGCAAATCAGTGTGACAATCCAGTCAGGTACTAGGAAAATCACGCAAGAAAAATCTTGGAACTCACTTCTTTCTCAACTGGTTCCAAGCCATTCTACTGTCTTCCCCTTCAAGAAGCCACAACTGGTAAATCTGATCTTGGCTACAAATCTGGGTAAAAATCTCAGAAGATCTGTGTGTTAGGTGTAAGATTCATAAGACCCCCAGTTCTTGGAAGAAGACAGGAGTGAGTGGAGTGAGTGGAGTGAGTGGAGTGAGTGGAGGCAGCAGAATGTCTACCACAGGGTTGTGTTGAGCTCATGTCAACAAGTCATCCTTTGTAGCGCTGCCCGCCTTGCTGATGTACAGGAGCAACATCAGCCATGCCGCTTCAGCAGCATACGGCAGTGGTGCCAACAAGTGCACTAACTCATAGCCCTTCACCTCACAGTGACTCGCTATGGCTCGCAATGGCTCACAATGATTCGCAATGACTCATTGCAAAGACTTACAACAAGCACAACTTGCGCAATTCATGGGTGCACGATCCCCAAAACTGAGGAGACTCTCTTCACTGCAACTTGGCTATCCCTGTTCTTGCCAGGAGCCCCCCACTGTGTGAAGACGCCATTGCTGCGCTGCAAAGGCAGTGAGTGCAGGGCCAGCAGAGACCAGCACAACAGCAGCACGAAACTCAAGACCAGTGAGGGACATGTCCAGGCGGATGAGCCTTGGTTGAAAGTATTGAAACACCAGCCCCTTGGATCCCCAAGGGGATCCCCTTGGATCCCCTTGGACACTTTCAAATTTTCTGAAGATCTTTGAAGATCTTTGAAGCATGCTGATGCAGATTGGCAAAGAGGCCCTGGAATGAGCTGTTGCAAAAATGCGAGATTCTGCGAGACAAGATGCGCCGTGGCAATGACCATGAAAAGTAAAACGACTAGCCAGCAGGCCATGATGGCCTGTGCGGAGGGCAGCGAATGTCAACGTGTGACATTGCTCGATTTCTCTTCTCGCTTTGGATTCAAGAGGCCGTGACTGTAGCAACACAGCTGTGCTTGAGGAAACAAAATTTCAAAACACCAAGCAGACCTAGCATAAGCGGCAGGGTAAAACACAGGGAAAACCAGAGTGGTCAAGGCCTTGTTCGAGATCAGCACGTAGCCAATCACGTAGTACGACCTGCAAATCAATTTCAAACAACAACTTCTGATACATGTACTACGTTACATGTACCAGCTGCAGCGTCTCCATGTGAGTAATTGGATATTCAATACAAGCACCATGGAGACATTCCGATTCAACGAGACAAAGAGGCCAAAAGGCTTTCAAAGCTCCACTTTGAACTCTTTGTTGATTCTCCCCTTTCTGGAAGGACTTTGCAAAGACTTATTTTAGGTTCATTATATAAGTGGAGAATGACACAGCATGTTATTGACAACCACTGAAGTACCCAGTCTACAAGCTCAAATTTTGGCGTTCAAGATTTGTCCGGAACAGAAAATGCAATTGTTCGTGCCCAGGTACAAGCCCAAAATCAGCTGATTCGTGCCCATACTCATGGCCACTCGAGCAAACCCATCATAGGACCTACAGATGAAGGCATCAGAACGTTCGTGGACATCGTTTTGCCGTCATTCCTGTCACTCCGCGAGACATGTTTCAACTTGTTCTTTCCAAGTGGCTGCCAGTACTTCATGACTTCCTTGATAAGAGTTAGATGTCGGAGCTCGTCAGGATTCGTACCTCAATGTCCAAAAACACAACATAATAAGATTGTCTTTCAAAAGAAAAGAGCTATATGAAGTTCTGCCCTTAATGTTTTTTGAAAGTGGCAAGTCACATGTTTGTTTTCTCCACTCACCCAACAACCAATCTATATATATATATACACACACATTAGCAGTCTGGTAGGCCTCTTTGTCTGTTGTGGGAGCCCAAGGCCTTGGAACTAATTGCAAAGTCTATGAAACTCATCATTAAAAAATTGAATCGGTTTTCATGAATATACAAGTCAATTTCCGGAGGGGATTTGCATTTTTCGCATGTTATATTCCTGATGATTACCATCTAGATTCGACCCACTTGTTTTGACATGTTGCATGCATCATACTTCTACGTATAGTAGGCTGGGCGAAGCAGATATTTCAAACAAAAAACATTGAAACAAAAATCAAATGTTTAGGGCACAATTACGACAAACTGCATATAGGTATATAATGATATAAATGTGTAGTTGTGTACACTTTATGGTTCAACACAGTTTCAAACAGTTCCAAAATAGTTTCAGAAGCATGCTTCAAATTTGCATTGCCGATACTTTGCTTATGTTTGAATCTTTTGACATCTTTCGAAATAGTTCTTCTGCCAGATTCGATGTATGAATGCATGATTGTTGCGTCTATGGATTTATGGGTCTATGGGCTGATAATATTGCGCTGATGAATATCTGGTGTGGCTCTACTAGTGTGCCATTTGGTCTTCACGTTTGCAGCTGGGACTGATCCCCATTCATTTTTCAATAATTTCCATAAGTACGCTACAAATAGTTCCGGCCCTATTATAAATAGTTCCAGGGCTAGAAGGGTCCAAAACAGAAGTTAGTGGATAAACAGGCCAACCGGACAGCTAATGTATACACAATTATACAATATTGTACATATATATATATCCCCTTGCCAATCACAATCAAAGGCAGAGGGATGGTCAAATGATCGATAATTTATGCATTCATGAAGGGGATATCTGTCAAGTAAGAAGGACTGACCGAACTCGAGTCCAGACTATTCAAGCACGGCACGGATGCTGCCATCCAATTCGTAGATACCTTCCTTAAAAACCGATGACACTGAGGAGTTACTGATGCTTCATGCTCTCTTTGTTGCATCTGTGCCTTTTTTTACCACGCGCAAGATTGAAAATACAAGCTACAACAATGTTCTGAAGTACAGAGACTGAAATCATCAAAGTGCTTGGAGTCAAGCACATGCGTCATGTGCAGAATGACAGGCCCGTTGCGTTACAGGAAACATCGGGAAGCCGTGCAAATGCAATGATGCGCGACTCGCTCGACTAGTGGCTCGCTGTGAAAGTGAAGCAGCTTGAGAGTGATAAATAAACTCATAAACTATCAGAAACTCGTAGATCTGTATGGAAGAGGTGTAGAAGTGTAGATCTCAGATCACAAAATTTGTTCAATACTCCAATCGTTGCCATGGTTCGCCACGGCCCTCAAGGCCCCAAAGGTCTGCAGAACCGGCTTGACCGCCTTCACCGCCTTCACCTGAGCCTTGCACATACATTTCGAATACCCCTTGCTCCAAATTTCCGCAGACCACACGGCCGTGACACAGGGCATACCATATTGCCATATTGTTGAATATGTTGGCATACCATGGAATAATGAAATACCGAATACCATGCTTTATCATGCTTTATTGATGTTCCGGTTCCATAGTGCTGCGTTGCCTGGTCTCCCTCTGGTTTGGACTAGACGAAGATCTTTCTCTAGAGAAATTCAGAATCTTCCGAATGCAGCTAAAGAATGTTGAAGAATGTTGAAGACGACTTTGGCCAGTTAAGGGTAGTTAAGGTGCTTCAACCTGGCCTCGCCCTTCTTCTGCTGACGTTGCCGTCTCTCCAAGGACCTCAATGCTTTCAAAACGTTTGAAACATGGCTTGGGGTCCTTGGCTGCAAATAAAACTTGCATTGACTTGCATGAACCAGCTCGATAATGCTCGACATCCTTGGCTTAAATCTTTTCACATATACTCCTTGCTGGTCGAGCGACTTGCTGCTGGGTTCCCATGACCTCGAAACTTTGCGAAAGCTTCTGAGAACTACATTGGGAATAGCTTTTGGGAATGTTGAAGGCGTGGAGAAGGGCTAGACACTTGGAATAACATGTGCTCCCCCCAGACAGGTGTTTTCCAGAAAGTGGTCCATTTCAAAGTCCTTCTCCTCTCTTTCATTAGCCTTGTTGTCTTCCCTCAAGAGATTGGCATGCACACTTAGACTTGAGTCAAGTAAAGCTTCAAGGCCACCAGCACTTTTTTTAGAGAAGTCACGAATGGCACTCGGAACATCTGGTTGGTCTTGGTCTTCTCAAATGTCGAGCCATACGTTCGTGCACCTTCCTAATAGTGGACGGAGGAGAATCAAATGCATCTCAGCGTGTTGTCAGGTGCCAACGTTGTCTGAGCTTCATTAGGCCCTTTTTTCATCTGGTATATCACTCGCACAAACACTTTCGCAAGTGAATCCTGTTTGAAGTGTGCAATTTCTCGGATATTGCACCTGCATTGTGTCCCATCCTACAAGTTTGTTGTGTCGTTTTTACTCAAAACGAGTAGAGTAAAGCCAAGCCAGTTTTCGAACTATTTCAACTTTGCGAAGTTGAACACCACTTGAAGCAAAGGCACTAGCTGCGTCCATGAAGGGACTGGCAATCGGACAAGCTGCGTCAGGAGCCGTGTTTCGTAGCTCTTGGCTGTGATGGAGGCGTGCATAGAGAACCATACCTTGGTGACTTTGGTCAGAGATGGTGAGCCAAGTCTCCCAGCAAATTCATGCACAGCTCCATGCATTTGATCAAGATTGAAGTGGCCACATTGGCGGGTACATAGCTAGTGGACTGCCCCAATATTGACCTTGCACTGGATAGCTTTGTCCCAGAATCCGCAAAGCTGGAAAGGATTGGAAAGGAGCTTCAGGTGCTGTCCGAGCAACTGACATCAAAAGGTACATGAATGCTCCTGGCAGATTGGAAATGTATGAAATGTTAAAATAACAAGTAGTCGTGTTTTCGACAATGCAGGTTTCGATTGAAAAGCTTCAAAACAATGACTGGACGGCAGAGGCAAATCAATAATGTGGCCATTCTATGAATTGCAGACACGAGTCACTGTGTGACACGGAACTCTTCTCTAGCTCTTTACCCTCTGTCTCAAATCAATAATTGTTCGAAAAATTGCGAAGCCCAGTATTCTTGTATTCTGCATAGAGGTCTGCCACAATAGCAAGACATAGCAAGACTAGCAACACCAGGAACGCCTGCTAGAGAGAGCGTGTGGCAGCCAACTAGCCATGTGGGAGTGCCACTTGCCAGTCGGCCCTCGCAGAACGCCATGACCGTAAAGCCTGCAAAAACGAGAAGCTGTCAATATCTACCAATCATCATGAATGAACGGGACGCTTGATATTGAAGATGAACATCAAAACACTTGGCAGAGTTCTTGTCTCAGTTTCCTCGGTGCTTAGCAGTTTCACTCAGGCACAGATCAGAACACAAGGTACGCAATGGCACACGCTCAAACTAGGCTTGCTCAGAAGGAATGTTTCAATGGCAGTACTGTACCTAGCTGCACGGCGTTCACGATCAAATACGTGTCCATTTTCACCTGGGAACCACTGGAATGTGACCACCGTTGCTTCATGTTGCTTCCGACCGGAGGGTGACTCGGCTTTCCTATTCTGTACTAACAGCTACAGTGCAAGAATGAAAGCTCGGCAGTCGCTCAAAACTAACTTCTTGGATTAAGACTGTCTTCTTGTTGCAAAAAAAGAAAATAATGACACTGCAAGTCCTGCAGTGAGACTCAAAAAAGCGCTGTCTAGCTTTCGTACGACGTCTCTGAGTAAGGTCAAAGGAGATCAAATTTGCCAAATCAGTCATGAATAAAATCAAGCACAAGCACTACAGTGTTGATACGATGCAGCAGAACGCAGCCAAGTGACCGAGGTGAGACCGATGATGTCACGAACATCTTCTCGCCAAAGCTCTGCTTGCTTGATCCGGAAGTCCATGATCTGGTATTCAGTCTCCTCAAGGGCATTTGAAAAAATCAGCAACGATTTCATGTTTAATGGTTCGTGTGACCTCATGCTGTTAGCCTTTTGCTCCAGGCCTGTCGCATTTTTCGGTCATAGAGATAATTCTCTCCTTGGCAATAACCAAACATCCAAATCCCAAAACGATGCTCTCAGAATATGCATCTCAGCGCATATTTCACTCACAATCAACACAGAAAAACACTGGTACACACACCTGCTATGCACACTTTGTCGCACCTGTACTGAACTTTGTAGATTTTGTAGTGCTTTGCACCTCTTTGCACGTCTTTGTACTGAGCCCCGCTCTGTTGTACTGAAAGAGGGTGCCACCGGCACCCGCCGCAGCTGCGGCGCTTGCGGCAGCAAGCACCGGCATGGACCCGTGAGAGTACCGGAGGGCCTTCGGACCTGCACACAAGATCAAGACAGATCAAGACAGATCAAGATAAAGTTTGTTAACCAAGCAGCTCAACTGAAGTACATTTGAAATGACTTTGCAAATGTTTCTTGAGTTTAAAACATTGGCAATGCCGCTATCAAGAGTATCGCAATCGTGCTGATGCTGATGCAAACAGGAACCAACTTACTGTATCACGAATCAATCCAATGATGAAGGCATCAAAGACCACCTTTTGATCACAAAGTGAAATGTGCTTTGCGCATTTGCGAGCTTGAGCCATCCTTTGACGCTCAGCCAAATGAGCTCCGGCGTTGACCTTCTTTGTCTTGGCTTCTTCGCTGAGACGGTATGTACACAGAGAGGGCAACGGACAGCATTGAATTTAGAGAAGTTTTGAATCTTAGAAAAATTTATGTTCTCGGTTTGTGTTCCAAATTCTTCTGTACTCTAGACATCTTTAGACATGAGAACAAGGCCTCAAAGCCAAGGTCGATGCTGGCTAATCTTACATCTTGGTGGCTGTGCCAGACGGTTGCTCACAACCGCAAAGAGAAGGACCGGCCTTGCAACAGTGAACAAAGGCCCTTACTTGGCAGTAGTTGTCAGACCTTCAGTGAAAACCACATTGAATTGTTCCGGATTGATGCCAGCTCAACTTCCACACATATATGCCTCTTATGTCATTGATTCATTGCTCTAATTATTGAAACTGACTTTGAACCTTGCCTCTGGTTGCACCAGTCGGGGCGGTTGGGCGAAACGCTCTCCCGGCTTCTTGTGCCCCTGCGTCCTGTGAACTCTGAGGTAACGGTCGCTTCTCTCGTTGTGTCTCGTTGCTCGTTACATCGTTGCTTAAGGCTTACCAACTCTAAGGCCCAGGCCCTGCAAACATCGGAATCAAGCTGTCCTCAGCAAAGGGAAACCAAAACATACCAAAACTTTGACCAAAGCCTTATTTTTTCCATGAAAACAGCCCAAAGCCAGGACGAGTTTTGATGTTTTGATTTGCTGCGCTTTATTTGTTTGCAAGCAAGGCTCAGCGTTCTTTGGCGCCCTGCAGATAGAAAATCACTACTTGCCAAAGCACAAGCTAGGGTTTCTATTGACACCAGCATCAAGAGGGTGTTTTCCTTCAACCTTTGCTACAATCACTATTCATCTGTTTCTGCCCCGCCTTCCAGCTTCATTCTGCTCCTGCCCATGCCCACAACAGGCCGACTACAAAACATACTTTGATAAAAAAAATGAAAAAGGGATAAAAAAAATTAAAAAAATACCAGCAAAAACAGAGATGGACATGGATGTTGCCCTGTCGCCCTGTTGCCCAAATGGATATTGCAGGCCACCTGCGCCCTGCGGATCAGCAACTCCATGCACATCAAGAAGCGCTGAGAAGCTCCCTCCAGGATTTCAGAATATCAAGGTGCTTTGAGCTTTGTCTTCTGAAAGTTACAGTATTTGTCGCAAGCAAAGCAAAAGTCCCAGATTTAAAGACGAGATCTTTTTTTTGTCAAAGGCGCAATCTCGCCGAAAACAAAAGCCAGCTTGCGCTTCATGAACTCCACGACAACAATATGTTCCTGATGCTGGCACTGATTACAACGTAGCGACTTGTGAATCACTTCTATCTGAAAGATATTGAAAGATACTGTATATTATATATAATTGCAAAGGATCGACAGCATCGAGCCACGACTCTACACCTTGATCGGCTACCTTGTAGCTGCATGGCATAGCTGTGCAAAGACATGCAAAGACTACCTGCATGGCAGCCGGCTTTTTAAACATGACGAGTGTCCGCATTGGACAAAGGCAAAGGGGGCATGGGCGTGGGCCCTGTGAGGCTTCCAGCGCTAAACCAGCGATCATCGTTCTTCACGATGCGGTACCTAGGCCGGAAATGACCGGAATCCGGAGGAATTCGGAGGATCCGAAGGAAGGCCAACCTGGACTTTGCATGTGCACTGCGTCTGCTGCACCATCTGCTGCACGATCTCTTCAAAATTCAAACATTCAAACCAAGACATCCAAGACACACTTTCGAAACCGCTGTGAGTGGAAACTCAATAATGCAGCCACTGCCCTGGTCAATCCTGGCAGTGCAAGATTGCTTCGCAAATGCAACACTCGAGTGGAAAGCAAGCAGCATTTTGAATACACCCATATTGGATTTGTTCAAATCACTCTGTGGGATGTGTGTAGCGTGCAGGTATCTTTGAAGACCTAGCATTGCCAGCCCAGATTCTTGAGAGTTTCCAGATTCTCCAGAATCTGGCAGTGGATGTCTGAATACTCCTTGGAACATGCGAAACTTACTTCTCTGCCGAAATGCTGCAGTCTGATGTAGAGCGCTGGCAATGTGAGCTTACACAGTACGAGTACTGCCAAAACAACCAGCCAATTTAGATAAGAAGCCTGGCTGGAGCCTGCCACAACTCCGCTCAAGGGACATAAATCAAAGGCCAGCAAGAAAACCCAAACAGGACTGAAGAAAACTGAGCAAGCATTTTCTTGAAGAGACGAAGGATTGCTACAAGCACGCATGCACGCTTTGAGAACCAGACAGGCAAAAACAAGGTCCGCAAAGCTAGTTGCAAAGTCGCCGAGTCCCCTGCTGATTTGCGTCATGTGCATTCCTCGATTGAGGTCCATAACAAAATCCTGGAGGTGCAAACCATTAGGCAAAATCTGATACAAGTGCTTGGAGTCTGACAGCAATGAAAGAAATATCCTCCCTGAAAATACACACAGTTCAGCAAATGCCTGCTCTACTTCAGCCTCTTCGGGTTTGATGGTTCTGAAAGTTCTGAAATCATTAAACAACTGTCACAACCGTCCTGAAACACTTTGAGCAGAGCTGCCCGCCGCCTCGGTTTGAAAGGGACTGTGATGTCTCCAGTGGGACAAGCATGGAAAACTACGTAAAAATGTCATTGAGCAGCAATATCAAAGCACAATTTGAGTTTGTTCACTTCTTTGCTATGGTTTAAATTGATTGATGATATGCTGTGCAGTTAAAGACATTGCAAGAGCTGCAAGAGATCAAAAATCCAAACACTTCGAGGAAATTATGGCATAAATAATTCATAAATATGAAAAAACTATGAAGAAATCACAAGGAGTGTAACATACTTTTTGCGGTTAGGTTGCTTCTCCTCGGGCTCATCTGCTAAGCAGTCGGGTGGCAGAGGATAGCGAAGGAGCCGCGGCAGCTGGATGCGATCCCTGACAAGAATTGAAAACAACGGTCAGGAAATAGGAGGGAATAGGAGGAAATAGCAGGAGCGAATGGAAGGGCGTCTCAAGTCAATAATTGCCAAAGATGAATAGAATATGAAAGATTCTCTCTGCTAGACAGAAACCCCAGGTTGCTCACAGTAGCTCAAACAAATCCTTGAACTCTGAACTGCCTGAAATCATGCTGCCGTGGAGTCATGGACAAGTGTTTTGTCCATTCACCCATCGCCCCTGCACGGGGCGAAACCTCAGAGATGCAGAACCAAAATGACAAAATCAAAAGAACCAGTAGGTTGGCTACAGCACCTGATGATCCTGATGTAGGCATGGACTTCAGTATGGACCAACAATGACAATTCGAAGAGTCTTTGAAGAGTCCAAGACTTCTTGACCCACCAAGATGAAGCCACAACTCAGCCCACTCAGCCTGCTCAGCTAGGGCACAGTCACATCAAAGGAGTCTTGCTCGGTCAAACGGTGCACTGGATTCGCCAGGCGCGTGTCCAAATCACTCGTTAGCTCCACCTCAGAGAAAGTGACACAATTACGTGTCAAAAACGTTTTGCAAACGGCATCATTTAGTAATTTAGTATCTATAGATTGTCTATTGGGGACTCTAGAACAGTGATGTTCAAAAAACAACAGTGCAAGGCCACGAAAACCCTACCCGAGTGCAAATCGAGTCTTTCCAGTCCACACCAAATCATGCGACAATGAAAGAGGATCCGCTTGGGGCTGGTCCTATCCACAAGATTCCACAAGTGACATTTGGTAGACTCAGCCGTTTTTGATGCAACAAGAAGGAAGATTCTGACGAGACCTGTTTTTCCATCGTTTCTCTGACAAGGGACGACTTTCATCTCGCCACTGACAGATTGCTCATGCCTTTGTTCAAAGCAGTGACATGCGCTGAACGCTGCCAGTTCTTGCACCTTGGTATGCCTTTCTGAAGTTTTAGCCAGGACAGAAATGGAAGAAATACGAATAAATGATGTAGACATATCGACACAGGCCGCACTTTCAGCCTTGTGGTGGTTTCCTTGTCACTGTTTGAGGTAGAAAAAGTGATTAAAAGTGGCTGCATGTGGCTACTTGACCAGATTGCCAAGCCACTGGACATTGCAGCATAGCAAGTACCTACGCGTGCAGCACAGAGCTGTGACCCTTCAGAAGCTCTCCACACCGACGAAATTGAAGCAGATTTCAAACATGTTCAAATCATGAAATCTGAAACACCAGCGGTTAGCCCAACGCTAGGTATGTTAGTTGGACGTACTCCTGTGTTCTTTTCTCGTTGTACCTGCTGCTTGGACTGGTCTGGATACCCTCCGGCCTGTCCAATGCCAACAAGGAGAGTACACTGCCCAGCAGGGAATTGTCCTCCTGCGGGGCAGATTCAAGCAGGGCCAGCTGACACTCAATGATAAAATATGATAAAATGATTAACATATATTAACATCATGTAACATGATTGACATTGCAACATAGACACCATAAAAATGTCAGCACCTCGTCATTGTGCCGGTGGACCTTCCGATTGGCCATGCCAGTCACTTAAACTCTGGAGTTGCGAAGCAGCCCCCCATGGCAAAAACAGCACTCGGGCAGTCTTCCAAAAGTCACTTGTCTTTGTTGAGTTGAATACACAAACATTGCTTTGAAACAATGGCTTCAAAAAAGCAGGTAATATCTGATGCGTTGCTTCCTGCTTCCTGACCTTCTGTAAGTCCATTCACACAGTAAGTTCATGACATGTCTGGGCCAAGAGCAGGGCTGACATACAGGATACATCAGGATACCATCAAATACCAACTTGATTCGGAAAAAATGCAAGGCGCTCTACTCAACCTGTACAGCCCAGTACAGCACTGTACGAGCTGTACCAGAGAGAAAATCTACGGTATTGACCTGTAGTGACAGCAGGGCTGAAAACATCTGAAAACAATAGACACAGCATGAGTGGAATCTTACCAAAACATTTCGATAGGATGAGATCAGCATGCGCTGCACTATCTGCACTGCGAAAGGCAGGGCTCGCCTTCGGGTTCCTGGCCACGTCACGACAGCGTAGCTATTTGCTCGCTCTCTCTCTCTCTCTCTCTTTCTCTCGAAACCCTTTCAGTGTAAAATTCCCATTTCCACTCTGTAAAAACACGAATACAAATAAATTAAATACATACTTAAATAAGACGAATCGAATGACTTGAAGGAACCTTGAAGGAACATGTACAAAAAAATACAAAAAAAAAAACATAGAAACTCTTTAAAAAACAACATAAAAACATAACGTTTCTATTTGAGGTAATTGAGTCGACTGAGTCCATGAACTGTTGGCTTCTCCGATCTTCAAAGACAACTGGCCATGGGCCGTTTCCGATTTTGAAGCAACAGCCGCAACAGCCGCAACAGCCCTGCCCAGCCTTGCTACATCTAGGGATTATGGATAACGGATAAATGTGCTTGAGCACTGACTCTGCGGGTATGCAGTCGCAGTATGTACAGCTGCAAGTTTAGTGTCGTGTCAAGGCCGAAGATTGATGTTCTCAGCCTTTAAAAACTGAGTTGCAGCTGACATTACTTGACATTACATATCCTGCCGCTGAGCCTTGCATCGAAGACACACGACTTAAGACACTGAAATTTCAAGACATTCCCAGACGTTCCAAGACGTTCCAAGAAGTAAGGCATTTCAGCCATTTCTGCACCGTGAGGCACCAGGCACAGCCAGGCACCCGTACTCACGGCTTCGCTCTGCAGACTCAGAGGAAGCGCTTCGGCGTTTCTTCTTCTCCTTGCAAGGATCTCAACGTGTCTTTCTACATGGTTTTCTTCACATTTTTGCATATTCAGAATCGTCATGAATCGTCCACTCTTTTCAGGAGGCTTCGGAAGGAATGAGATGATGAGGGAAAGGGAATGCATCATTCTTGGAAACAACTTAGCAGGACTGGACATGCAGACTTGGGTGGAGTGTCGGCGAAGTAAGTATGATACAAACATACGTGTCGAGATGAACCTCATTTGGAAACCAGGTAAATCATGATGCCTTTGTAGAGGGCCGAGATTCAGATTATGTTTCTGGACTGGCATGGATGTGTATGCAATCCCAATAACCTCATGAGCATGTGCCAAAATTGGGTGGTTTCAAAAAGCGATCAAAGACAACACCACAATCACGCGCCGTTGCCACCAAAGCCGCAAAATCTGATAAGACTTGCTGTGGCACAGATGGACACTTGGCCAAACTTATCAACGCGGCGCTGGGAGGGGGGGAAGTGCTGGGTGTGAAATAGCGGATGCAGTAAATCTACACCACCAAAGAACAGCTTTGGCTGGGAGTCTGGGAGGGTTCATTTTTGGTCTAGAGTTGCAAGAATACTGCGCTTTCCAATGGTTTCCAGTGTTTTGTTAAGATCTAATATACGGCTTGGAAAACTGTTTGAGCACCGCAACCCTCGGTAATCGCAGGTAGCAAGGTAGCGCTGCTACGAGGCGCTCGCGAACAGTGAAGTGACTGAAGTGTGAAGACAATGCCATGCGGCACGTTTCCAGGCGTTGTTGAAATTTAACAGGATCAAGTTGAAGAATTAAATTGGACATAAAAGTGCCCTAGTGACCAGAGAATCCAAACAAAGAGGATCATGTTAAAGTTTTGGATACAGCGATTCCCGGGCCAATCTATGGTACAGAAAGGATGGCATTTGAGACTTCATATTGGAAAAGGTTTGCAAGGAGAATTGGACGCCAAAAATATTCAAATAGAAGGGATCGCCAAAAACGATATCAGATGTGAAGTTTGTTTGAACGGCGGTATAGATGAAGGATCAAAAAATGGCGAGTGAGAGGCCAAACTTATGACAAGCCTGTGGTGCCAATGCACAAACGGGATAGACAGGCAGCACAACAAGAATATTCAGAGTTGGAAAAGTCAGCCTCAAGTCCGTCACAGAAAAGAATAGGTACCCGTAGCGTGAAAATTATTTAGGCCATGAATTGCATGCTGATGCGTGTATGTATGTGTGTATACAGTGTATACAGGTTTAAGCAGAGTGATTTTCGTATAAACATATAGAGAATTAAACAGCTGGGTATTTGTATAGGGTTGCTGTTTTCACTTTACAATGCACAATAAGTGGACCAGAATGTGTAGATGCTGACCCAGTCTGTGGCTTTGAATTCTCCTCGACCGCTGGGTTCGGGCGGAGACGCGAACCGGTGCGAATATAGCATGCTTATCACGCTTGAACGTTGCAAACAGGACCCATCCGAAAATCAGAGCCCTTCTTTGTGGTGTGTAATGTCTTGCTGAAGCTGCAACACGTGATATCTGGTGCTTTTAACATACACATCTCTTGCTTGCCCTTTAGCAAAACTTTAGGACATCGAAGCTAAAGGAAGACTGATGATGGCTCTGATGGCTCTGATGTTACAAATTGCTCTTGCTCCGACTTGCTCCGACTTGCTCCGGCCTTCTTTTCCTTTCTATCTCCCCGCTCTCGGTCGCGATCTTCTCGGTCCCGATCGTCCTTGTGCCCAGCTTCCCTCCCTCACTTCACACCCGGTCACCCTCTGTTCGGTCACCACATAATGCAAGCAAACATATGCAAACATATTCCAAATGGGTTCTTAATAAGTGCAGCATACTGCAGCTATGCGTCATCTTTGCCCATGGCGACCGAAACAAAGTGAGGAAGAACCTGTCATCGCAGTAAATCTGAATCAAGCAATTCAAATCCTTTTGTCAGTTCATCAGGTCCATATTCACTGCCATTCAAATCGTCCAACTGTCATGAGAGTTTTTCTACGCGGACATCAGCCTTTGAAAGGTGCTACCAAGGAGTGGTTGCTCCTGATCTTTCACATAGCCAGCGAGCTAGATCAAGCTAGCAAGTTTATTTCTGTGGACTCATTTGAACCTATGGGGTTCTCTGTGTATGATTGTATATGTGTCCACATCCGACAAACAACATGCAAGAAGACATGCCAGCTGCACGTGGGCACAGCTGGAATGAAAAACGGCACCAGGCCAAAGGACGATCAGCAAAAAGGCGGCAGAGGAACAAATGGTCTGAGGCATGGAATGAACTACCCACCTCGATACATCTTGGATCCGCCCTACAATACAAAGGATGTCAAACAACTCGGAAGGTTTTCTGTCAAATCTCTACATCACAATTTTCACAAGATATGACTGGCCAAGCTTGGCCAAGCCCTCCTAGTTTATGCTACAAGAAATGAAGATGGCTTTATAAATCTTAATCCACATGAAGTCCCACTGGTTTCAGTACTTCAGGCTTAGGTGACCTTAAAAACTTCCGACACCAGGAAACCAGGCCGTCTGTTCGAAGGGAATGCAAATTTGGCCAAGTCGCCAGCCTGGCCAATGGCAACATGCGAGGGTGGTCGTGGGGGTGTACATTGTCAAACTCCCCAAGAATAGGGCTAATAGGCACCCAGTAAAAGTAAACGTAGAAAAATATCAACCTGTTGCTCATGTTTTCTCGCAAACACCAAAACAGCCGGTATGGCAGGACCCCATACGCGGATGTGAGTCTCATCTGCGGATGCGAAAGTTCTCTTCACCAGTGGCACCTGTTCAGTGCAAATGCTTTGTTTGTCAAATGAAATCAGGGGGCCTTGAAGGGGAGTCTTTCTGGATGAGAAGGAAGGAGTCACATCAAATCACTATTTGGATACGTGGGCATACTATGAACTAGTTTTGTCTGCATTGAGCATATCATAGCATTGCCGACAACAGCGTTCAACTTGAATAAATTGAAAAGAAGCAGAATTGACCCAAACAACACTGCCCCATGTTGCCCATGTTTGCATCGTCTGCTTGCATTCAGAGCACGAGCTGCGCTGCAGGTGTTAAATGCCCAGCATAAGTCAGCTCTCGCCTAGGGGTATGGTGCAAGAAACATTCGGGACACGGAGTTCTCAAAGGATGTCCCACGGTTGGAGAAACCTAAGAAATCGATTAAACATACCTATAGATTCCTATAGATGTGGCGTAGTGAGAACCTGTAGCATTTCTATGCTGCTCTGACAGAATATGTCAGAATGCAACCATGTTCAAAAGGAACTGTGTCACTGCAGTGAAACCCTCAGGCACTGGCTCCAGGCCAAAATTGAGAGGCTCTGAGCCCTGTGCACTTCACTCCCCCACAGCCAACAAACAGCGCAATCTGAGACTCCACAAACATCTCTGTCTATACATGCAAAATGATCAAATGTGCAGAAATGCAAGTAAATGGAGATATGTTGTATCTGTCACATACACCACGACTGCGCCACGGACACAGCGGAAGCCAAGCCGTTCCCAACTAGTACCATTTCATCCTGCATTGGCCGAATGCTGTGCCTCCTGTGGCATTTGCCACGCACCCAGCTAGAGGCCTGCACAGAAAAGGAAGACAAATTGAAGGCGAAAGTTCATTCGCAAGCAGATTGCGACAGATTGCCGGGTCTGGCAGACCATCAATGACATCCCTCCTTCGTGCAAACTGATCATGGCTGAGACCGCTCCCCCTTGGCCCCACTTTTCTCTTGGGCCTGAACACTTGCAGTGACAAACAGTGACAGAGTGGCTTGGAAGAATGAAAATACAATAAGAACAGATGCACCCTGTAGATCTTGAGTGGCATAGCCCTCCTTTTCCTCAAGCTCACTTGCTGACACATTGTTTTCCTGTTTTCCAGTCCAAGCTGCAAAAGAGAGACACAATACAGTGAACTGATGCGAACTGAACTGTACACTGTACAGGATTTTGCATTGTACAATGGCTCATTCATGGCATGGATGGCTTTGTTCCATCTTTTCTAAGCACTCTAGCAATCCCATGCTCTTGCAATTGGACCTATCAGATTTCTCTGAGGACTTCAGGATACTTCAGGCATTCACCATGTGTCTCTTTACATCCGAGACAGAACTCGAAATCAATCACTCAATAGCTTCATGGAAGCTGCCTGAAATTCAGTGCGGCAGGAACCATATTGAACTCTGGGTCGATTGCTTTGCACAGGATTGCGTTGCATTGAAGCACTGGATGTTGCGATTATTACTTCCTATGACTATGAAAGTCAAATACAATGTCATCAAATAAAACGGTTGCAGCAAGGAATCCCGCCAGCTTTCTCACTATGGTATTTCACAGTCTGACAAGTTTGATCGAGTTGTTCAGCATAGCGGAAGCGACACTGCCATCGCTCTAGTGCCCATGGTGCCCATGGTGCCCATGGTGACAGTCAGCTTTCCATCAATAGAGAGTGCCCAAGGACTTCGAATCTGGGGCTTCCAGAAACTCGGGTCTGGAGCTCTCGCGTCCAAGTTGAATTTCAAAGTCTGCCAACACTCGCATGTACCTGCGACAGCTGCGACAGCTAAATGTCTAGGCTCTCATGGCCCATGAGTCGAGAGTGAATCCTCTTCAAGCCGCCTCAATATGTTCCCAGTACAGTGACATGAGGGTTCGGCCAATTCCGAAAGAGTCTTCAATGCAAATCACGTCCACAAACATTGAGTTGCACATATCTACATTGCTTAAGTTACATACATAACATGACACTGCATGACCTGACACCACACCACACAACATATGACATGACATTACATGATACTACATGACATTAAAACACAGTAGATGACATTGCATGACATTACATAGACACCATTCACGGACACGTACGCGTACACATTGACAGAGACATAGGCACATACACACATACAAAGATGTATATACATGTATATACATGTATATACATGGTTACATGTATATACACGTATACATGTATACTGTATACTGAATGCGATTGTGGGTGGGGACAATAACGCTCATTTCCAGTTGCACACGCCCTTGGTGCTGTGTCTGTTTTTAGGATCTCAATTCGATGGTTTAATATCTTTTGTTCTGCGTAGTTAGCAAAGTTCTGCGCTATGAAACCTGATCCATGACTTGCGCACATATTCAGTCATATTCATACAAATCCAGGTTTCGAAAATATGTTGAATTTGTATGTGCAACATCTACATGCAATGCGAGATAAGATTGCACCACAAGACCACAAGACCTTTGAACCTTTTGGTCGATGACTCTTGGCATGGAAGACAAATGACAGATGCCATTTACAGAAAAATCCGGACAGTGCGAAATGCTTGAAGCTGCAAGCTGGAAGGTTTAAGGGTTGCTTGATTTTTTTTTCGAAAATAGAAAAGTTCACAGTGCTCAAAAAATATAAGATATATAATAGAAACACAAAAAATGGAGGAAAATAACAATGATAAAATAGAAGGGCCCAAAAAACACAACGCTGTGGGAGCCACAATTTTCAGGATATATGATATAAGAAGCTAATGCCAACAAGTCAATAATCCAAGATTACAGTGTTTACAGCCATCTTTGATCACGCACTTTCCGGGCAAACCGGCAAACCTCCCGGGTCTACACAACATGTTCAACATGTTGCCCAACATTTTGCATCTGTCTTCCTGCCCAGATGCTTTGGTCGGATTGCGGGTCTCTTCTCTCTAGCAAGGGTCAGCGCAGCATCCAGGCTCAGGCCTTCAATGGCCATGAGGAGTGCTATGACCACCGCAACGGAGCGATTGCAACCCAAGGCACAAAAAACGTAGATCTGACCTGCAAGAATTTCACACTGCACAAGTGTGTCGGTTTCCTCAGATCAAAATGTCCACCTCTTTGACTCCAAGTGAATACTGGGCACAGGGCCAATTTTGCAAGAAACTAAGAAGTTTGTACCGTGCTGTACCAATACTTCATATTTGCAGTTATGTAAAGATGCGGGGGAAACACTTTGATTTGCCCTCAGCCCTCTCAAAACACTGTAATTAAAGTGGTTATTCGCGCATTCCTCATAAGCTCGGGGAGGGGGCTGTGCTTCCATTGCACAAGTTACCCCCAATCCGGAAACCATAAAACCCTTCAGCGTAAACCCTAAAACCCAAGCCCCAAACCCTAAGGCCCTAAATCAAAAAACAAGTAAAAAACAGCAAGCCTTAAACACCAAAACCCTAAAACCCTAAAATCTTAGAAGCCCAAAGATGTTCTGGGCGATACGAGGTGTTCCACATAAAGATACCGTGAAAGATTAAAACACAGAATAATAAGGGCATACTATGAAACAAGGCTCAAATGCTCCTTTTGCGGTCCAGACTCAGCGAAGTCACACCCGGGTTGCTGAAGTGCTTCTTGTGCAAATGCAATTGCCAGCTTTAAAGCGTCAGCCAAGTCTGAGTCGCTGCCTTTATCCTCCAGGTTGAGGGTCATCAAATTGTTCTCAAATCGTTTCTGCAAGACCTAGCATCTGTATTGGTTGACAAATCAACTCTTTTGTGACAGCAAGGTTCCCTGAAGTTTTGCAAAAGTGGTCTGAAAACACAAAGTTCAGTATTTGTTTCCAAGAGACTGGTGTCACATTGCGTTCAAGCGCTGCACAAATCCCATGGGTTGCATTGGCAAGTTCTTGTACTGATGAATCGTGTTTCAGGGCACCACCAAGATGCAACCAGGAAGTGATTTCACTTACGACCTGACGATCAGAGCACTGCTTCTCACAACTACCACAGACTGCCACAGACTACGGCAGACTACCACAAACGTAGTTCAACAAGAATCCTGTAAAAATATTAGGACCAAGAACTATTTCCCTGGATCATGTGTATATACATATATATATATACATATATATATGTATATATATAAAATTATATAAACATAAATTGGGCAATTTCCATCTCTCTGGATTTCAGAAGGCAAATTTGTGTATGTCCTCTGCAAATCAATGTGCGAAATGCGGGCATCACATCAGGTTCAATGTCTATCAAAAATTACCTGATACATACTGTTTGCTGGGTTTTTGTCAAACTCTACAAAAATGGATTCGAGAATTGACAATGCATCTGTGATCGAAAATCTGCATAAAATTTAACCATTGTTTGCATTGTTTTGCTTCATGAAACTCGCTCCCAAAACATACTATACCCTCGGAACGTAATTTTGCTGAGCTACCTCCGTCTGAGACTGTTGATAGACGTCTTTGGCACGTTGGCACTCTTCAACAAACGCGCAGAGCCTCCAAGAACTGCAGATAAAATGTTAATGGAAGCAACTGGAAGGCTATGCCCCTTGTGCTCTAATTGCCTCACCCCAACTTTAGGTGGCCGAGGCCAAGGATGTGTTTCGTGGTTGATTTTGTTTTAATTGATTGCGATTCCATTTTTTTTTAATACCGGAAAATGTTTGTTGGATGCTCATTAGTTGCGACAATGGAACGCAAACAAATATGTTTACTGTAGAAAGCGAACGGACTTGACACACTGCAACAGTATCCCACAACTTGTGTTTTTGTCTCAAACTGTAAAACATGTGCCCGTCACAATCGTCACATTGGAAGCCTCGGGTCTGAGATTTTCGGTGGATTTTTGGATGCACGAATGCAGTTTTTGCACCGACTGCTTTCTTTACGCCATTGGGAAGCCGAAAAGCACTCCTGGCTACAGCAAAGCGCAAATGAATTGTGGTTTCCACGCTCGAAGACCTCAAAAAAAGGGCCTACTTGATCACAATTTCAGCAAATACAAAACAAAGAAACACAGTCCGACTCTACAGATTGTGGATTCTTTCCTAAATACACTGTACACCTTCCATTGCATCTATGTTTGGTGTTCCAGATTGCACTGCGCTGGATTTCAAGTATTTGGAAAATTCACTAATAATTCTATGCCCAATTCCAAAGACTTATTCACGAATAAATTGGTGGTCAGGTTCACCCAGCACATGCATATCTATCTCCCGTAGCCAGCGACACGCAATGAAAGCAAATCATTAATTCTCCTTCGGCAAGTTCTCGGCGCAAGAAACACATAGTTTTTCTATTTCAGAAATTGCCATGGAACCAAGCAGCTGCAAATGAAATATAAACATATTTGAATCAAATGAGGCACATGAGGCATGAGAATCATTGATGGAAACATGCTACAAATCCGGCGTACGGTTTAAAATAAAAAATGTAAATACACAAAAATTTCACCCAAACACATGTTTTCGATTTTTGGTGCTAATTTGGACGGAAATTTCAAAAACAAAATCGTCCAAGAGCAACTTCAAGGACGGAAAAATTCAGTAGGATTTTTGTCGCATGCAACCATGTTTTCTCCTATATAAGTTTTTCCCCACATCTTTGTGTGGGGTTCTTGTTTTTTGCTTACATTTGACGGCATTTGCAACACGTAGATTTGCTGTCATGTTTGCACTTGAATTTGGTTTCAGTTCATGTCCAGTGCATGTGTAGTATCTGTACTTATCCAGGCGCTTTTCCGCTCAGAGGAAAACAATCATGGTAGCGGAGCCGTGATCCACATACCTTAGTGTTGTGGTGAGCTCCAAAAGGGGCCAGGACCCGAAGCCCCAAATCACTCGGTGGACAGGACCCAATCCACCACATAGGTGCCATAGCGCCCACGCTGTTCTGCTCTCTGGCCTTTTGGCTTTCTCTAGCCTTCGTGGCTTTTCTGGTGCAGTTTCCTGGATTTCACAACGTTTGCAGTGCAAGTTCAATTTGCTTCCTGGTGTTTGGACTTTTAACATTCTGGACTGGCATTTGGATATCTGCAAAGGAACAATTGACAATTTGGTTGGACGTTTTACGTTGTGCTTTTGTGGTCGGTAGTGGTGATGGCTACAACCGATGTGAGTGCTGCAGCGATCTTGCAGGCAGTGCAACAGAGTGCCCAAGCTGCAGCTGCTGCTGCACAAGCACTCAAAGAAGCAAACGAACGTCGCTCCAATGGCTTTGGAGAAGCCAGCAAAGTGGTACAGTGCCCCAAGGAGTTTGGGAGCCTAAATTCAGCAGATGATCAGACTGCATGGTCAGATTTTTCTTTCACCTTTCGACAGTGGCTTTTCTTTGCGGATTCAGCTTTTGAGAGTGACTTCAAGCACATCGAGGAGAACCCATCGCTGGTAGTGGCCTTCCTGGACAACCCTTTGGGTGCAGCCTCGAAAGAGCGTTCAAAGAAGCTTTACAGTATTTTAGCTGGGATCCTTAAGCAGAGGCCATTGAAGGTGCTACGTCAGGTTGATGGTGCAAATGGGTTGGAAGTTTTTCGTCAACTCAGCGCGCTCTATGCGCCACGTACCAAGGGAAGAAGCTTAGCCCTGCTGAATGCTCTCATGTCATATCCACAGTTTTCGAAAGATCGTTCAACTTTGGAACAAGTGCAGAACCTTGAGAAGCTTGCAGACGAGTACAGAAGATCTTCTGGCCATGACATTTCAGATGACATTTTGCTGTCAACGCTGATTCGAGTGTTGCCCAAAAATGTTCAACAACATGTGCAGTTGACCATGAAGGAAAGTTCAACATATGCAGAAGTGCGTGAACAGGTGGTTGCCCACGAGCGCATGTCATGTTCATGGACCAGAGACAAAGTTCTGCAAGACCTTGGTGCCACGCCCATTGGTGCAGTGACTTCATACAGCAGTGGAGACACAGGATCTGCCCCCATGGAAGTGAACTTGATCAAGGGAAAGAACAAAGGCAAAGGAAAGAGCAGCGACAAGGGCAAAGGAAAAGGCAAGCCCAATTTTTCCAAAGGCAAGGGCAAAGGCAAATACACTGACAAAGGAAAGGGCAAGGGAGGCTCTGGAAAGGGCTATGGTGACAATTCAAAAGGTGGACAGAGAACTTCGTATGCTGGAAAAGTTGATGCATGTTGATGCAAACACATGTGCATACTGCGGAAAGACAGGCCATTGGCAAAAGGACAGTCACAGGAAGCAACGTGATATGCAGTCGAAGCAAGTGCGTGTTGTGGAGGAGGTCACATCTGAGACAGCAACAACAACAGCTTCTTCTGGCAATGTGAGCTCAGTTCGAATGGTCTCTACCGCAGGTGGTGCATTTGATTCATGTTACGTTGAGGACCTCACAGTCTTTTCCAGTGGTGCAAGTTGTTCATCAGTTCAGCATGTTCAGATGATTTCAGAAACATGTGTTCACTTTGACATGTCATGCACAGATTCAGATTCAGACTGGATTTTCAGCCCTGATGCGTCGCCCTGTGCACCGGACTCAGTCAGTGATTCCTCAGACAGCTCTTGCAGTCACCGAAGTTTTCATGTCAGAACAGTGAGTAACACGCAATCATCTTACATGACTGCCCATTGTTGCGATGTGATTCTTGATTCTGGAGCTGATACAAGTGCTCTCCCATTGAGCTTTGCTGGAGTTGGAGACAAGTGCCAAGACCCCAGTACAACGTTTGTGGATGCGCAAGGTGTTCCATTGTCAGTTGAATCAACTAGGATCGCAACAGTACAGTTTGGAGATGTGTGTTTCAAGGAGAAGTTCATCATTGCAGATGTTACAAGTCCTTTGATTGCGTTGGGTCATGTGATTCGTAGTGGCTGGAGCCTTGTGCAACGAAATGGCAAACCATGCTTGGTGAAAGGTGACAAAATGATTCAAGTGTTGTATCGAAACAACTCACTTTGTGCTCGAGGCCATATCTCACGTGTCAGCGAGGTCTCTCCAGAGGATGCAGTGCACTCCATTCGAGTTGTGCAGCCTGGCATTGTTCTCAGAACCCTTGTGCCTGGTTGGAACAGGATCAGTCCACATCAATATGCAATTCGAACTACACAGCCTTTTCATGTCAATACAACTTTGGTGCCAAGTGATGAGTTGATGTGGCTGCGTACAACCCTGGTTTGTCGTGAAGGATCAGGATGGGAAGTGGACGAATTCTGTGAAGCCATTGCAGACCTCAGAGATGACCTTGAGTCAGAAATCAATCTTTCATCCAATGTTGTGGAGGTGATTACAATTGCGCACAAACATGCAATGCCTGCTGAGAATCTGGGATTTTTCATGCCAGACATGTCATTGCTTCCTCCAGACCCTGGGGTTGCAAAAAGTTCAGATGACAAGGACGATGCGTCTTCAGGCTACAGTGCAAGCATTGCCCCTGATGTGCCAGTTGATCCAGCAGAAGGAGAACCCTTACAAGAGGACCGTGTTGTGCCCTTTCAAGAAGTTGAGTTTGTTGACATTGATGGAGTGAGGTTGACAGTAGACTCACCCCTGAGGGCATTGCGAGCAGCATGTGTCAGTTTGGGTTTGTCAAAGAGGGGTGGCAAAGCACTTTGCATGCGCAGAATGGTTGATCACCTCAATGCACAGACTTTGATGGCAGCTCATGGTGCTGAAGTGAAGCTGCGTAGTGAGGCCGAGAGGTTTGCAATAGGCCAGAAGGTTCCTCAGCAACCTACAGCTCAGGAAGTTGAAAACCATGGGCTGACCCATGAACCCTACCGTGACTGGTGTGAGCTTTGCCAATCTTTTCGAGCGCGTCAAGATCCACACCCTGCAAGTGCTCATGATCGAGTTGGCCACTCAGTCATTTCATATGACTACGGGTTTTGCTCAAGGATGGATGATGGTTCAGACAAACTTCCATGTCTGGTGATGCATGACAGAGACACACGACTGCTTGGTGCAATTCCTACAGTGCAGAAAGGTGGAAAATATCTTCAGTATGTCATCACTGAGTTTGTTCGATTCATCATGCACACTCAGCACAGGGAAGTTGCCTTGAGATCAGATCTGGAACCCACAAACCTGGCTATTTTGGATGGAGTACGCAAGACCTGCCGTGGACTTGGCATTACAATACACCACGAGCCAGTTCCAGTCAGTGATCATCAGGCAAATGGTGCAGCAGAATCATCTTTGCAGCAAATCAGAAGTCGAGCTGGCATTTTCATTGAGCAGATTGAGAAAGCATGTGCAGGTGGCAAGAAAGTTTTTCCATGTTCACATCCACTCTACGCATGGGCCATTCTTCACTCTGCTTGGATCCATAACCATTTTGTAGTTGCTGCTGGTGCCACTGCCTACGAAAGGAGCTCAGACAGAGCGTATTCAGGCAAGCTGGCAATGTTTGGAGAGAGCGTGCTTGGCTATCTCAAAACTGACAGAAAGGCTGCAGCTCGATGGCAACGTGGAATTTGGTTGGGAAAGAGCTTGGTCAATGATGTGCATATTGTTGCAAAGGGAGCCAACATCTTTGTGACCAGAAGTATCCGAAGACGACCCAAGCCATTTGAGTTGGAAGATCTTGGTGAAGTGGTTTCAGGACCTTGGGAGTTTGGCTATGCTTCACTTGGTCACAGGATGGTTTACAACAAGCGGCTCTCTGGACCATTTGCTTTTGGAGTTGGAGCAGCCTTACCTCCAGGGATTGATGTGGAGGCCATTCAAGTACAGGCCTATGCAGCTGAACATCCTGAAGAAGATCAAGATGCGCCCCCAGAAGGTGAGGCGGGGCAAATGCTGATGCCCGCTGGTGCACACAGCTCTGAAGTGGTTGATGTTGCAATGGACGAGCACGGAAGTCAAAAGCGTGGTGACAATGTTCCAGCTGCTGGTGAAAGTTCTTTGAAGAAAGCCAAAGTTGATTTTGGACAAGAGCAGCCTTCGACACCAAAGTCAGATGGCGGTGCAGATGTTTCAGAACGCGCACCCAAGACACCACGTTTGGATTCACAGCCAGATAACATCAGAAGCTTGGTCACCAGCACAGACCTCAGTTTGTATGAACACGAGGACGAGCCCGTGAAGTTTCATTTTGATGAACAGGATTTGGATCAGCTTGAACAGTATGAACTTGAGTTCAACGACTCCGAGCGTTTGGAGGAGGATGACTGGAGTTCCAGCATGGATGACAATGTGAAAGATATCATCAAGCAGCTTTCTTTTCCATATGGTGCAAGTGAACCTCAAGTGAGTGACGAAGAGCTGCAACGACTTGATGCTTTGGCTGACAAGTTGGAGCTTCAGCGGCTTTCAAAGCTCAATGTCTTGAAGGACCCTTCTTTGGTGGATGCATCTTCGAAGGTGTTAAGCACTCGTTTTGTGCGTACATGGAGAGAGAAATTGGACTCATGTGGATCCCCTATATGGTTGAGGCGTTCGAGATTTGTGGCGCGAGAATTTGCTTGGCTTCAACCAGAACGTGAGAGTCTTTTCTCACCGGCTAGCAGTGCAATTACTTCACGAATATTGCCTGCCATTTTTCTGGAAATGAGAAGCCAATGTTCAGCAGTTCTTGCAAGTCTGGATGTAAAAGATGCCTTCTTAACTGTAGATCAGCAAGAGCCCACTCTGGTACATACAACTGACGCTGCAGGAAATCCTCAGAGCTTTTCCTTAGGCAAAGTTTTGCCAGGACAACGAGATGGGTCATTGCTTTGGTATCGGGACATCACGTCCTATTTGAAATCACAGTTGAACATGGAGGAGCATCCAGCTTATCCCTGCCTTCTCAGGAGCCCTGATGGCTCATGTGCAATTCTCATTCATGTGGACGATTTGCTTGTGGTTGGAAAAAGGGATTTTGTGTTGAACACTTTGCTTGCGAAGCTGCGTGAAAAGTATGAGATCTCAGCACAGGTGATTGAGCGTCCAGGAGATGAACTTTCGTTTTTGAAACGCACCCATGTACTTCATGCTGATGGACGGATGACAATTCAAACCCACCATAAGCATGTGCAACAGATGTGTTCTTTGCTGAAAATGAATGGAAGGATCCAGTCGAAGAAAAGCCCAGGACACGCTGACATGGACAAAGAAGACAACAGCAAGGAGCTTGATGCAATTGCTGGTACAACTTTCCGTACGTGTGTTGGAATTCTCATGTATCTTGCAAGTGACCTTCCTCATTGTCAACACGTTGTACGACACTTGTCAACGTATTCAGCAAGACCAACTGAGAAGAGCATGTGCGTGCTGAGACATTTGGTTGGATATCTGTCAGGTCATTCTGACCTCTGCATGTCTTTGAAGTGGGATGGAAGATGCAGTGGAGTGTACCATCAGCAGTACAACTATGATGCAGGTGAAAGCGTACTTGAGGTGTTCACAGACTCAGACTGGGCATCAGACAGACAGTCCCGGCGTTCAGTGTCATGTTGCTTGATTTTCTATGGACGCTGTTTGCTATATGCTGCATCACGTACACAGAAGGTCATCAGCTTATCTTCGGCAGAAGCTGAAGTCTATGCATGTTCTTCTGGTTGCTCAGACGCCATCCTCCTTTCAAGGCTGATATCATGGTTGAATGGAAGAGCAACACATATCCATCTTTACACTGATTCCTCAGGTGCGAGAGGGATACTTCAAAGAATGGGTGTCGGAAGGTTGAGACATCTTTCGTGCAGAATTCTATGGCTGCAGCAGTTGGCTACCAACGGTACCATTTGCGTTGCTGCCGTTTCTGGACATTCAAATCCTGCTGACATAGGCACAAAACGTTTGGGGTGCAGCAGGATGAGGTCATTGATGGCCGTGCTTGGTATCTACAATCAGACAACTCAAAGCGTAGAAGGCAGTGATGACCCTGGAAGGGTGTTTGTGCGGAAGTTGAATATTCGCACGTTGATAAGCGCCTTGAGTCTACTTCAACTGCAAGGATGCGATTTGGATGAATCAGACGAGACTTCAAGTTGGTTCAAATTTGCATGCACAGCAGTGGTTGGAGTTTTACTTTTGCTGCCTTGGATTTTTCCAAACATGTGCAGTTTTGGCGGCAACAACAATGTTGAGCCCTCAGCTGATGTTCACAGTGCTCAAGTTGATTTGAATAATGGGGTTCAAAATGATGAACCTGTGGCAATGGACAATTTGCAGGCCATTGCGCAGGAAATGGAGCCTAATGGAGGTCCTGTGGCACCAGCCAATTTGCTTGCTGCTGCGCAGGATATGCATCCAATGGCTTCCAGTTCAAATGCCCCACATGTTGGTCATGCAGCCGAGCCTCTACCAGAGCCCGGTACGTATGAGGACAGGATTCCACAGTTCACCAATGAGACCATGCCACCTATCAATGCAGAATGGTCTCCAGAAGCTCTCATAGTATGGCTGTATGACAGGTGCTCAGGTCGTTTGATGAGAACAAATGAACTTCGAAAGCAGCATGTGTACCGTGAGCGAATGCTCCTTCTACAAGACTTGATGGTGTGCCTTCGAAATTTTCAAGTGACACGTCTTGAAGTGTACAACATGCTTGTGGACATAGATGATTTGAGCGAGGATGAAGAATTCCCCCAGCCATGAACTTTCCCATCAAGGACGTCTCAGTGCAATCCATGGTGCTCAAAGGGCCTTTGACTTTGGCTCCAATTTGATGCGAGCTTTGCAGGTGAGAACGTATCCACCGGAGAGCAGCATTCATGTGGATACGGTTGCGCGACAGCTTGCAGAAAGTTTCAACTCCATGGATGATGGAGAGAGTTCTGAAGAGTTGGAGGATGCAGAACAACGAAGAGAACGCTACATCCATAGCTTTATGAGCGAAGTTTCAGATCCCGAGTACTGGATGGACATCCATCATGGAGATGCTGAGGTGGAAGGATCAGATGCTGGTTGAGAAAGCTTTGTGCCAAAGACTTACAAACCTTGGATGTACGATCTTTAGGACGTTTCCCAAGCAGATCTACTAAGTGGATCGGGTTAAGCAGCGGCATCCCAATGTGGACCCCGGCAACCAAAGCTTACAATTAGACATTTCTTAGAAATCTCTGTTGGTCACTCGACCTTTTGGCTATGATCAAATGTAGTGTGTTGGTGCTTGCAAAGCATGCAGCACCAAGGCGGGGTGCTTACATTTGACGGCATTTGCAACACGTAGATTTGCTGTCATGTTTGCACTTGAATTTGGTTTCAGTTCATGTCCAGTGCATGTGTAGTATCTGTACTTATCCAGGCGCTTTTCCGCTCAGAGGAAAACAATCATTTTTGCTTCTGTATCCTGGTCCTCCTCTTCCCCGCTTTCCTCTCGCCTCCTTCCGCCATCTTTCACGCACAACTTTGTCACACACAACATCATTTTTCACACACCATCTTTGTCACACCATCTTTCGCACACACAACTTTGTCACACACCATCTTTCACACACAACTTTGTCACACACCCTCTTTCACACACCATCTTTGTCAACCATCTTTGTCACACACCATCTTTGTCAACCACCTTCGTTTCACGCGGCAGGCACGCAGCAGGCGTGGCACTTGGCACTGGGCTGGCTGGCTCTGGTGGCACGCTTGGGCCCGTTTTGGTCGCCGGTGACGCCGCGGCATTTTGCGTGGCAAGCGTGGCAAATGGGGACATCCACCTTCGTTTCACGGGGCAGGCGTGGCACTTGGCGACGACCACCTTCGTTTTGCGTGGCAGGCGTGGCACTTATGGCACTGGGCTGGCTCTGGTGGCGCGCTTAGGCCCATTTTGGTCGTCGGTGACGCGGTACTTTGCGTGGCAGGCGTGGCACTTGGGGACGTCCACCTTCGTTTCACGTGGCAGGCTTCGCGACAACCACCTTCGTTTTGCGTGGCAGGCGGGGCACTTATGGCACTGGGCTGGCTCTGATAGCGCGCTTGGGGCCGTTTTGGTCGCCGGTGACGCCGCGGCACTTTGCGTGGCAGGCGTGGCACTTGGGGACATCCACCTTCGTTTTGCATGGCAGGCGTGGCACTTGGCGACGACCACCTTCGTTTTGCGTGTCAGGCGTGGCACTTGTGGCGCTGGGCTGGTTCTGGTGGCGCGCTTGGGCCCGTTTTGGTCGCCGCTGACACCGCGGCACTTTGCGTGGCAGGCGTGGTGCTTGGCGACATGTGCCTTCGTTTACGTGGAAGCTGCCTCTGTTCCACGGCAAGCTGCCTCGGCTGTTTTGGGTGCACGCATTGTTGATCCAACGTGGACAGTGGAGAGACATGCCTGGTTGCACTCAGTTCCGGACAGACGAAGGTGAAGATGAAGGAAAGATGAAAATGAGATGACAATTACTTAACCGGAAAACAAGAGGGGCAACGCAAAAAGGAAAAGGAAAAAGAGAGAACACCAACACCAACACACCTGGCCCGAAACGGGCAAACCCTGAAAGGGCAAGGAAAAAGAAAAAGCGGACGGACGACGGACCAAAAAACCAACCAGAGGAGGGGGGGCGGACAGAAGCGCCTGACACAACCTACAAGGCGAGAGCCAAAGCCTACCTAGGAACGCGATGGACCCAAACCTGAACTAGAGAGGAAAGCGCGCATGAGATAGGGGACCAATGGGGAACTAGTTGATGAAATAAGATGCATCCACATTACGTGCATTTTTCGTGATGAGGCTCAAAGGCCCTCGGCTTTCATGTCACAACCCTGTAAACGGCTTAAGTTGTCAACCCCTGAATTACGTGCACAATTGAACCTCACCAACGACCATAAAAAGAAAGAAAAACCACACCTAAAGCATGTCCTGTTGCCTGATTTTTCATGAAAGAAAAGGTGAAGCCAGGCCCAGCGGCACGTTGTTCAACCAAACGACATTCGACAGGGTGAAAACCGAAAAATGGCCAGCTGTTTCACGTTACTTAGACGAAATACTAATTCAAAAGTGTCAATTCAGAGGTCATTTCGAATTTCGAAGTGTCAAGTCTTAGCTTGGAAAAGCTTTCCCCGAAGGGTTCATGCCACCTTGACGAATCCAGCATGAATCACACACTTGCTCAGAAACATCTTTGAGAATTCTGATGTGGAATGCATCTTACGTGCAAAGACACTCCAATTAAACCTGACAGGAGCCATTGAATGATCAGAAGTGAGAAACCTCAGGTTGAAGTTTGGTTGGCACTTGACAATGCAGTTAAACAACAACAGAAAACCCAGTATGACGTGTCCCCCAGCTGCGACTTGAATGCGCCCAGGAGCGACACTGCAGGTACAGAAGTTTGCGTCCAAACTTCCATCCAGTTGATTTCCATAGCTTCGTAACCGTCACGCCCCCTGCAATTTAAAAGGAGATTGGACAAACGCCTGGTAAAATACTCAAAACTGGTTCATTGCAATGGCAAAGAACCTGATAAGAAAAAGCAATTCCGTCAATCAAGGTAGAAGTTTTACATCTCTTCAGATGTTCCACACACACAACTTTCACACACGCCATCTTTCACACACAACTTTGTCACCCACACACATCATCTTTCTTTGTCACACACCAACTTTCATATGCAACTTTGTCACCACAACCTCCACCACCTCCTTTGTCTTTCCTTCCTTCCCCGTCCCCGCTACAACATTTGGTGCTCATTATTGGAAGAAGTTGACTTGTGGGGTTATCCGGTCCTTTAATTTGTTCATTTTCCCAAATTTTGATCGCAATGCGTTCCATGTCGTGTCCTTTTTCGCTTGCTGCTGCTCATGATCGATGACATGGTGCTGTTTGTGCTGGTGCTGTTCATGTTGCTGGTTTGTTGTTGTTGTTGTTGTTGGCGGCGGTGGTAGTGGCAATAGCTATGGTTGCTGGTCCCGTGGGTGGATCGGGCATCACGAGGGACGGCTATCGAGCAGGTGGGGGGCGCGGAGGGAAGGCACAGAGCAATCCCCCGTTTTAGGGGCCCTACAGACAGGTTTAAGACTAAACATCTATGAGTCCAACGGAAAAGCACCAACGCGTCTTTTCCTTGGAGTTGTGCTACTAAGTTTTGAGCCACGGAGTGGCGCAGTGGGTGAAATGAAATTTGTGATCTACACCTAACTACATCTACAGTACGAAGCATTGTACGGACACATAGACAAACAACAAAAAAGGATCACAAACACATACAATTTTTCTTCGCATCGGAACATGCAGTCAAGATTTTACATGTGCAGGAAGCACTTTGCCTACAGTCAGCTGTGAAACGGTGTCTGCTTCTACTGGTTGTTTACGTTTGCTAGCGGATAGATCAGCATATCAGGATCTCAACATGAATCAATGCAAACTGACCGAAAGATCGGAAATGCAGAAATCGAAAATGTATGGACACTTGCGGTAAGATCGTTGTACTTGAATGCGCATCTAAAATCCCATTGGAAAACAATATCCATACATCCAGAAGTTCGTTGTTTCGGCGGACGGCAGAATGGCCATTGTGGTCTGGTATCAAATGAACTGCCGTCATCGGAGCGCACTCAAGCATTGATGATCAGGCTGTAAATACCCACGGACGTACTCAAGGTCATGGTTCTGTCGATGTGCATAATGATATGAAGCTTATGGATTTTGTGTAATAGATTGCGCGTTATATCGCGACTGGGCCTGATATTGTTGATGACTTATTATTTTAAATTTCTAAGGCTCACGAAATTCGAACCAACAAACTCAAATAAATGCAATGGAAATGTGACGAATCGCATCGGCGGCTCCTCTCTTCCTTTTTAACCACGATGGGTACATTCGACATTTGTTGGATCGAATTGCTTCAAATTGACAATTGCCCTTGAAATGAAAAGATGAAGTTCCAATGTGTCGATGGGACATGAAACAAAAATCATCTTGTTGAGTTGAAAATCACATCTCGAGAAAAGATGAATTGTTCTCTCAAATAAAACATTTGATCAGTCAATAAAAACCATCCCATCTATCCCATTAGCACATTGAGAATTGGAAAAACCGAAAGCGCACTCAAGGCTCGATATCATGCCAAAAGAGGCCATTGTAGCCTGATCCAGAAATATGTGCGTTGAAGGATTCAACGTCTTGAGCATTTTGCTCTTCTAGGTCTAACTCATGTTGACGTAAAAGATGAGCATCAACATCATCTTGGACGTCTTCGGAATCAGAAATAGGTTGTTCCAGCTCTGTGATCAAACTTAAAGCTGGCGAAAAGGTTGGATTTTCAACAGTTTGTTCCAATTGAAGCAAGGGAGGAACGTTTCGAACAAATTTGACCAAAAGCAAAACAGAAAGAAAATCAGCAGCAGAAAACAACACAGAGCTCAACAGTTCAGGTGTTCCGAGTCCCTTGAATTGATGAAATGATACCAATTCGCGGAGCAAACAATTTGCAAACGAGAGATCATTAATTAATTGATCGAGAGCCGCATTTGAAAGAGAAGAAGAGAACAAATAGATAGAAGTAGCAGGATGAGGGACAAAGAAATTTGAAATTGGTTCAAAATGGCCGGAAAAGGCAGCGTGAATTACCGAAGACATAAATGCCCAGTGCCTGCCGCAGAAACTGTCTGAGATGTTTTCGAGAATGAAATATAAAATGTTGAGGAGGCGAACGAGTTTGTCGCCATTGTCGATGGACATGGAGAGCCACTCACGCACGGTCTGAGCGAGAATATCCATGGTGCCTGGCAAATGGGAAGATAACAAATGAAAATGGGAGAGGAGGGAGGGAGAAAAATGACAAGCACAAATACAAATGAAGAATCAGGTTGGTTTGAATTTCTTGAGCCATGGCAACGGAAATAAAATTGAATTTCCGATCTCAAAAATTTTAAATAAAGAAATGTCTAACTACATTAGAAATTGATCTTATTTTAAATTTCTAAATAAATGCAATGGAAATGTGACGAATCGCATCGGCGGCTCCTCTCTTCCTTTTTAACCACGATGGG